CTACATGTACTGCTTTTGATCAAAGTAGCTAGGGACTTAGCAATCATATCCCCCCCCCCCACACACACAACTGTGTTTACTAATTCTTTGCATAGTGTTTTAAATCTCCATTCCATTCATGTCTACCCAAACATTTTCTGAATGGGGTTCTTGTTTTTCTAAAATTCTGAGTTGCTCCCTCTGGCTATTTGTGCTTGTGATTTTCTTTTTGAAGCATCCCTGCCTAGGATTTTCCCCGCTCTACATTGCCACAGGTGGCGATAGCATTTTCACTGCTTTGCAGGCACTCTGATTCTCTTTCTTCAGTGACCCACGTGTTCAACAATGTGTTGTTCAGTCTCCAGGTGTCTGAGAATTTCCTGTAGTTTCATATGCTGTTGAGATCGAGTTTAACTTCATTATGGCCAGACAGGATACAGGGAGTGACTTCAGTTTTCTATTTCCTTATGTTGCTGTAGGTCATGGGATATGACCTATTTTGGAGGAAGTTCAGGAGCTAAGAATATGTATTGTGCAGCTACTGGGTGAAGTACTCTGCAGATGTTAAAAGTTGTTTAAGTCTTAAGGTTTCTGTGTTTTTTTTTTTTGTTGTTGAAACATCTATTGGTGAGAGAAGTATTTCACACTATTGTACCAGTATCTATGAGCGTTTATACAAGTCCACAAGTGTTAGTTTAGTGAGCCTGGGTGTGCCACCTTTTGGTGCATGTTATCTAATTTCCTTTTCATATTAGTCTAAGTACCCATTTTGTCTCTTGACTATGCTTGAAGTCTTATTTTATCAAATGTACATAGTGATTCTTGCCTACCTTGAGGGTCTATTTGCTCAGAAAGTCCTTTTCCATCCTATCACCCTGAGCCCTTTCTTTATCAGTGAGATGTTTGTTTATGGTCATGGGTTTTGAACTCAGGGCCTGGGTGCTCTTTACCACTGTGAGCCACAGCACCACTTCTGATTTTCTGGTGGTTAACTGGAAATGGGTCATGGAGTTTCTTGCTTGGGCTGGCTTTGAACTGTGATCCTCAGATCTCAGCCTCCTGAGCAGCTAGGATAACAGGCATGAGTTTTTTTTGGTCAGTCATGGGGCTTGAACTCTGGGCCTACACACTGTCCCTCAGCTCTTCAGCTCAAGGCTAGCACTCTACCACTTGAGCTACTGCACCACTTCAGGTTTCTGAGTGGCTTATTGGAGATAGGAGTCTCACGGACTTTCCTGCCGGGGCTGAGAGGGCTTGAGTAGATAGGATTACAGGCATTAGCACCGGCACCTGGCTGGGTCTTACTTTGACTCAACTTGCTATCATTTGATCGTAGAGTTATGTACATTCACATTTAATGTTACTGAAAGGTATGCTGTATTTCCTGTCCTTTTTTTGTGTTGCTGTTTCTTTCATCTTTCTGCTTCCTAATCTCTTCTAGTAGGATTTCTTTCCTACATTTTTGTTTTCATTTCCCTTCTGTGATTCATGTAAGTATATTTTGCAGTGTTGCTTTATAGTGGATGACTTTCATTTTTCATGGAAGGTTTTTATTTTTCCATCAGTTATTACAGATAGTTCTGCTTATTACAATAATCTAGGTTGACATCTGCTTTTCCAAGTTGAAATATGTCTTACAAATCCTTCCTGCATTTAGCATCATGTTGAGAAATCTGCTTTTGTTATACTGGGGTGCCAAGGTAAGTTCCAGCTTTCAATGTTCTCTCTTCTGAATGTTTAGTGTTTTTACTGGTCTAGGGGCGCTGGGTTGTGTGTGACATGAACGACCACTTTTATGAGGGTTGGGGTGGATTGGCCGGTTTTTTTTTTGGGTTGGTCGTGGGGCCTGAACTTGGCCTGGGTGCTGTCCCTCAGCTCTTCAGCTCAAGGCTAGCGCTCTGCCACTTGAGCCACAGCACCATATCTAGCCTTTTTTCCTTTTGCTTATGTGGTGCTGAGGAATCGAACCCAGGGCCTCATGCATGCAAGGCAAGCACTCTACCACTGAGCCACCTTCCCAGCCCCATGGTTTGGCCACTTTGACTGAGCTTCTTCCTCAAAATTTGTAGGACCTCTTGGTATTTTTTCCAATGCCTTTGACCTAATTTTCCTGCAATTGTTTTCAGCTTCTGCACGATTACCCCAGGCTTTTCAATTAAGTTTATTTGGGTAGTTGAGTTTATCTGTAGAATTTTGTCCCCCCCCCCCCCCAATATCATTGAATTTCTCTAATTTCCCACATTATTACCTTATTTCAGCAGCTGCTTATACTCATTCAGTTTCTCATTTGGTTAAAAAGCTTTAAAAAAAAAAAAAGATTCATTCTTGTTTATTGAGCTCATTGGCATTTATTCTTTTTTTTTTTTGGTCCGGTCGTGGGGCCTGAACTCTGGGCCTGGGCGCTGTCCCTCAGCTCTTCAGCTCAAGGCTAGCGCTCTACCACTTGAGCCACAGTGCCACTTCCGGCTTTTTTCTTTTTGCTTATGTGGTGCTGAGGAATCGAACCCAGGGCCTCGAGCATGCAAGGCAAGCGCTCTACCACTGAGCCACCTTCCCAGCCCGGCATTTATTCTTCTAAGTCCTTTATGGTGCTATTACTGGCTTTTGAGGGTCTCGAGACGCTGCCTCTTTTTTGTGAATTTTGTGATCTTCTGATGATTTACACATGTGGGTCCAGGATTTGAGAGACTTCACTGTCCTGCGTAAGCAAGTGCTTTCTTTTATTTTTTTTTAAATTTTATTTTATTTTATTTGAGAACATACTGTACAGAGGGGTTACAATTACATGGGCAGAAAAATGCCTGCAAGTGCTTTCTTGCCGCTGTGTTGAGAGTGATGGCTGGGGTGGTGTGAAGAAGGGTGGGATCACAAACAGCCAGTTTCAGTGCTTGAGACCCCATGTGTGGAACTCTTCTTCCTGAGTAAGGAAACCAGTTTTGGCAAGCTCTAATGAAGATCTGATCTTTTTAGATGAATATAGGATCCAAGATGTACCTTTGTGCTGTAGGAAGAAGGCTGGAGGGGCTGGTCCTAGTGGAGAAATACTAGCTTGCTTTATGATGGGAAGGGTGAGGTGCTATGCTTGCATATAGGTGAGATTAATGGGAAGGTGGGGAAAGGTAAAAAGAAAATGCTGGATTAGTGAGTGGGGAGATAAAAGTGGGATGGAGGTGTGGCTTAATAAGAAAAACACCAGCAGAGCAAGTTCAAATCCTGGTATCAGAAAAATAAAGAGATATGAAACAAGGGTGGATTTAGGCAATCAGGAAGAGTTAGGGATGGGGGAGCCAGGGGTAGAAGAGTATGAGAAGAATCCTACTTATAGAGAAAGGGGGATATAAACGGAGAGGAACTCTGATCCAGATGGGAATTGAAAGACAGGTATGGCGTGTAGATGTGAACTTCAGAGAAAAGCAGCAAAACACAGATTAAATGGTATAAGAAGTCCGTGCTAGAATGTGTAAGTTGAAAGGTGAATGGCATTTATCTGAGAGAAAAGAAATACCGTAAGTTAACTGCAAGAAACGTGTCTCTCTGTCTACTGCGTGACCTCTCTCAGGGCAGCGAGGCTGCTCTAGGCCTGGGTTCGCGCGAGGCTCTGCTCATGCGTCTCGTGTGGCTGCCTCAACTGTTAGTTTCTGCAGGTTGGTGTGTCCCATGAGCACACTGGATTGGGGACAGAGACGACAGCTTTTTGTGGTGGGATCTACAGTCTCTGCTCCGAGGCTGGCCGGGAACTCATTCCTCCATGTCCTGGCACTATTTCTGCAGCTTTGCGGTGTCCTTTCCTCATGTGCATTTTATAAGCGATTTATGCCAAAGTTCTTTGGTACTGTGTCCGTGGGCAACCAGTTAAGCTGCAATTGCTCCTTGTCCCACTATCTGGTATAGAGAGGGCAAAGACTGCCCCCCAGCACAGCCTTCTACGTCACCGTTTCCCATGGTGGGGATGAGGCTTGTGGTTTGACTGTTCCCACTGCTGAATTTGTTGGTTCCTTGGCAGGTCTGATTTCATCTTGGTTTCCAGATCCAAACTCCATGTTGTTGCTACTCTGCTTTAATCATTTCTCTAATTCCTGAGTCCTTGCAAAATCCTTGTAGTTTCTCCTTTCTTCCATGTTCCCTAAGAATCTGCTTGCTCTTGGGTCACTGGGCTCTTCTCATTTGCCAAGGTGCTTTCAATCTGCATCATCTGCTGCTGGTGTTTAGGCCCCACCAGATAATCCAGGATCTTATCTCAAATTGTCTAATTATATCCACAATAGAATAACTCATGTTCTTGCCATCAGGATTTGACTTATCCATTATTCAGCCTACCATGTTTGTACTTCATATCTCAGCTAAAAGGAAAGCCGGGGTTTCTGCTGGGATGGAATTAACTGGTAGGGAATTTTACAAAGCGCGCTAAATCAGAATCTGATCTCATGGAACAAATGTCCCCAAGACCTACTAAAAACAGTCTTGCTGTGGCAAATGCACCTAGCCTCCCATGTTATAGTCTCTCTCTTTTCACTGAAAAGGATTCAGACCTGGCTTGGAGTATTGCTGCAGAATTCGCTTCAGGAGTGGGTCATACTCGTCCCTTCATCAGCACCAGAAGGGCTGCCCATCGTCCTCTACCATTTTAAGAGAAACGTAAAGGCCCATATGCTTTAGTATTTTAACAGACCCTTCCAATTGCTCTGGAGACTGCTCAGCCTGGCGTTCTGGAATTCCCAGTAATGTGCAGGAAAGGTTTGGTGTACATTCTTTATTGATTCCACCAACTAATGTATTAGTAGATATGATACTTTTACATTCTCTTAACCAAAAATATAACAAATATTTACACTCAGTAAAAATACAAAAAGCATACAGAGGCACTGTCTTTCTAAAAGACATAAGTTTAAAGAGGTATCAAAAAATAGGCGACAAACATTGCTTGTTTCAGGGTACCTTACAATCATGGAATTGTGCAGTAGAGTTGTACTAATCAAATAGCAACTGTGCAGTAGTTTTTTGCTGATAAGTTTGCATGTTTGAGTTTTAAAAGATCAATTGCATTCTAAATATTAAAACTTTTAAAAAAGCACAACAACAAAAGCTAAAGATGAACAGGGTTCAGTCTTCCGAGTGACACTAAAGGGTACATACTGGAACACAGCAGGGAAAGGCCACTTGTAGTTTGCTGACTACAGCTGCACTTCTAGCTAGGAGTGGAGGTGAGGACTCTTGTCCCGAAAGCTTCGGTCTAGAAATGTGGATGGATCTACCAGTTCTCCAAAGCTTTGATTGGAAGAAACTTTGCTGAAACTTACCATTTGGCAAACGTTTGCACTCAGGGTTCCTGCAGGCTTCAATAGACATTCATAACGTAAGAACTAGGTATTTGGAACTGAAGCAAACTACAGGCTTAATTAAGGCTTTCCTTTGTTCTGGTTCTATGAGAAACTTAAGAAAGGACTTTCTTGTGCTCTAAATTAAAATTAAGTTTTTTTTTTTTTTTTGGGGGGGGGGGGGTACTTGTCTAGGCAAGCACTCTGCCACAGCCCTTCATGAATTTTTAAGGGATTCATACATATTAAATGGTCACAAAGCATTTGGTTTTATTTCTGATCAATATGATCAGCTGATCCAAACACTCACAGTTAAAGCTAGCTACAAACAAAGGCAGCCACATGGTGCAAGCTCCAACCCACAAGGCCTCAGCTCTCTGTGCAGGGCATCGTTTACACCATTCATGTAAGGCTTCCATTTGATGGACATGCTGTGCAGATAGTACATTTTCTGCACTCATGGATGGTGAGAATAAAATGCAACCACCTCAGTGATGGTTATAGCAAAACAAAATTATGGGTAAACTAGTAGATTCATAAGCAGAGGGAATGGACTTTCAAACCAGGATTCTGGACTCAGGTTACCTTTTACAAGCAAGCCATGTAACTTGCATTTGAACACACCTGGGACTGACTAATTTCTAAGGCTTCAATTCAGAATGCTTTCTTTCCCTCCAGGGATTTTTTTTTCAAAGACATGCCACTTTCCTAAAACAGAGATAATCATTTTGATGAGAAAAACACACTACGATTTTTAAATGAAGGTGATAAACAGAGAAATGCAACCATGGTTGTCTTAAGCTAAGCCCTGCATGGCCATATATAAACGACATTCTGAAGTGAACCCATTGGCTTCAAGAGGATCTTGCTAGTAGTACACCTATAAATGGCTTTGGCTTTTTTTGGTACAGAAATTTTACTTGCCTCTACATAAAAAATGAAAAAGATATATAAACAATTTGTAAAAATCCACTTGATCTAGTAAACAGTTATTAAATATTTAAAGTTAAGTCCTTTTTTCCAGGGCCAAAATTTGAATCGAGACAATCTTTTTCTCTGTTGGTCATGGGGCTTGAATTCAGAGCCTGGGTCCTATCCCTGAGCTCTTTTACTCAAGACCAGCGCTATGCCAACTTGGGCCACTCCTCCTGGGCTTTTCTGAGTGGTTTATTGGAGGTAAGTCTCACCAACCTGCCTGGGCTGGCTTTGAACCATGGTCTTCAGATCTCAGCCTCCTGAGTACTTAGAGGATTACAGGCCACCAGCGCCTAACAAGACAATCTCAGTTGCTCTTTGTCCCACAATCTTCAACCCAATTTCCAAGCCCTTGGTGGGCTCCTTAGCTTCACTAAGGGCCTCAAAGCCACAGGGGGCTTTCCAGATTGATGCAATCCAGTGCTGTAGGGGTGGTGTGCAGGCAGAAGACTCTGCAATGGCAAATTCATCTTCATGAGTCCAATGCTCTTTTTTTTTTTTTTTAAAGACTTAAAACTCTCTACTTGTCACTCATAATAGATGAATGAGTTCATTCTTTCACAATGAAGAGTTACTGCCCCTCAGCCTATCTGTGGCCGCCCCCTGCACCGCACTGCCCAGGCACCACGCTGCATGCGTCAAACCCAGCTCCTCCACAAGGGTGATTCTCTGTCGGGTTGGACCAGAGACACTCTTATGGCCTCAAACACACATCAGTCCCCCCCCCGCCCCCCCCAAACCACAGTACTTCAATAATAAGTTACTTTCCAAATACACAAGAATATCCTTGGCATTGGCCAACATTTTGAATGTGTCCACTAGCCCAAGCTATGGCTTGGAAATAATACCACCACTATGCTTTAAAAGATGTCTGGAAGGAAAATCAATAGTGATACATGGGACGACTTGAGTTTGCATTGACAAATGTAGTCCTAAGGCAGGTCTGGCGCAGTCAGGCCCAGCATCCACAGCCGGAAACCACTTGCCTGCGGGGACTAAATGGCGGGCAGTCTCATTCAGGAGCGCAGGGAATGAAGCCTCTGGGTTAGTAGCAGCAGCCAGCAGACTCCGCTCGCTCCTCGACTTCCAGTGACCAGATTCAAGTGGGCGACTCAAAGGCTAGACTGCTGAGACCTGTTCATTTTCTGCCAAGTAAGAAAAACAAATCAACTAATATGTTAGAGAATGATCAAAGAAATCCAAGATAGCCCATCAAGACCTTTATTCTGAGGACACCTTGATGGCTAACAATAAACTGGACTTCTAGCAATGTTTTTTTTTAACCATTTAATGACTGTTTTTCAAGATATTGTCACACAAAGCTAGTCAAGAGTTTTGCTCTGCAAGATGTACTAATAAATAGCATTGTTTTAGTTTGGCATTTGAAACGTTTTCATGCATTAATATACACCACCGATGTCAAACATCTTCTGAAATTACCCTTAAATGACTGCTGCCCTTGTATGAACTCCATGTGAGTAAGAGTGCTTGGCACCTAACAGCCTGTCTTCGCTGACTGAAAAGACATACTGAACTCAGGGCTTCATGCTTGTTAGGCAGGCACTGTACACCGGCTATTTTTAGGACAGGGTCTGAACTTCCCGGTGAGGTATACTGGTGCACTGCCGTGATCCTCCTTGGGGCTGGGATGATAGACATGTGGCACTCTACCCAACTTCTTCCACTAGATGGAGTCTTTAGGACCTCTCTATCTGGGCTGTTCTGTGCGTCATTTCCCATTCCTGTCTTCCCGCTGAGCTCGGGCTGACAAGCTGTGCAGAGCTATGAGTTGAGACTGAAAGCAATCTTTTGACCTTTTTCTGCCCAGGCAAACTTTATTTTTTTGAAAAGAAATTTTAAAGCACTTACTTAAGAAAACGTCACTAGTGACTATAGACCACCACAATAAAGACCATTCAGTATATAAAGCATTCATTTAAGAGCCATTAAGGTAATTGTCACGTACCATCTGCTCCGCTATCTGCATCAGTCACCTCTGTTAGTCTAGGACGGGATGGCTGCAAATTATGCCTGTGAGGCTGAGATACAGTCTTCGAGGGGCCACAGGCCACAGGATTGCTACTGAGAGAAGCTGGTGGTGGCCTACAGAGGCTGTTCTGCATCATCTTTGACCTTTGCACTGCCACACTATACTCTGGAGGTTTTAGGTGCGGGTGGGGTCCTTCCTGGAGGTCGGCTAGAGAGATCCCCAGGTATCCTGGAGGAGTGGGAGGCGGCTCCCTAAACCTACCGTCCTTCCTGGGTGATGTGACACAGTATACTGGTATGAAAAATAAGCAATGGAAACGTTAATAAAAAAAATGAAAAAAAAAAAAGACATACTTAAAAAGAACTTAAAAACATACAAATGAAATAAATCTAAATACAATGACAGCAGGTTAAAACATTTTAAATAAACTTGTCTGTCTGCAGAGATGACCAAATTCACACTAAACACACACCTATACTATCACTATCCATGGGCGGTTTGCATCTGTCTGCTCCCTGAGAGCAGAATGCTGTTCTCAGGCACTCCTATCCAGGCCAGGGAACTTTGCTGATATTCCTGGTAATTATTTTTCTGATTTTCAGTGGACATTAAGAACCACGGTGATTTAAATGCTTTCCCTCAGTTTGTAAACCCCCTGGACAAAGCCTAAAGCAGCAGAAATTCCAATCTACAGGATAACAGGCTCTGAACACCTTGACTGTGTGCAAAGTGCCTGCAGATAAGCAGAATACGTCAGAGGGACATTAGATAATTCTAACATGAACTTTCTCACCAGAGGATTAGGGTTACTAAGCCTATCTTCATTTTATTATTTTTTTATTTTTTGGGTCCAGTCGTGGGGCCTGAACTCTGGGCCTGGGCGCTGTCCCTCAGCTCTTCAGCTCAAGGCTAGTGCTGTACCACTTGAGCCACAGCGCCACTTCCGGCTTTTTTCTTTTTGCTTATGTGGTGCTGAGGAATCGAACCTAGGGCTTCATGCATGCAAGGCAAGCACTCTACCACTGAGCCAACTTCCCAGCCCACTAAGCCTATCTTCAATAAACAATTATAAATTGATTATGAAAGTATATTTTCAACAGAGTCATTTCATGTAAGTAAGAAAGCAGGGGCTTTTTTATAAAAGTATCTTAAGATAGCTAAACACACATAAACTCTATTATGTAACATCAAGGTCAGAAGGGATGTGTTTCCATTTGGGGACAGATGGGTGGGCTGGTGATGGTAAGGTTGTCAAGAGAAGACAAGCATGAAGTCTGATTTGCCCAAATGCCAAGCAATGGTAGATTCTAAAATCTGTATTCTCAAATAGACAAAAAGGTGGTTTTGTTTTTTTCTGGGGGTGGAAGGGGGGTGGTAGTGAATGGAAGAGGGGTACTGGGATTTCAACTCAAGGCCACAAACTCGGTATGTTTGATCCATGCCCCCTCAGCTTTTTACTGCTTTAGTTTTTCAGATGGGTTCTCTTTTTGCCCTGAGATCAGCCTTGGATTACAATCCACTACCTCCCAAACTGAGACAAAATGTTTGAGTTACTGTCTGTCTTTTTTGTTGATATAGTTTCACTCTGAGCATATCCTCTCAAAGTAACCAGGACTATGGGTGTGAATAACCAAGAGTGATGAGAAAGGTTTTTCTTTTTCTTTTTTTTTTGGTCTTTGTTTTTCTTCCTGGCCCTGGGGCTTGAACTGAGGGCCTGGATGCTGTTCTAGAGCCTCTTTGTGCTCAAGGCTAGTGCTCTACCACTTGGCCACAACACCATACCTGGCCTTTTCTGAGTGGTTTACTGGAGATAAGAGTCTCATGGAGGGCTGGGAAGTTGGCCAATGGTAGAGAGCTTGCCTTGCATGCATGAGGCCCTGGGTTCGATTCCTCAGCGCCACATAAGCAAAAAAGAAAAAAGCTGGAAGTGGCGCTGTGGCTCAAGTGGTAGAGTGCTAGCCTTGAGCTGAAGAGCTGAGGGACAGCGCCCAGACCCAGAGCTCAGGCCTCATGACTGACCCCCCCCCCCCCCAAAAAAAAAAAAAAAAAAAAAAAAGTCTCATGGATTTTCCTGCTTGGGCTGGGTTTGAACTGTGATCCTCAGAGCTCAGCTTTCTGAGCAGGATTACAGGAGTGTGCCCGGCTGAGTCTTATAACTCTGCACACAGATTTGTATATCCTGAGTGTAATCTATAAAAACTTACTAAACAAATCCTTACAAAAACTCCTAATGTATAATGTAATTTGAAAATCTAAAAATTTCCCTTTTATATTTTAGTAATTACATGTGGCATTATGAATAAAGAATTACAAGTTGATTATGAAAATATAGATTCAACATAGTCATTTCATGTAAGTAAAAAAGCAGGAGCTATTATAGTTAAATGTATGATTCAGGGCTTTTATAGTTAAATGTATGAATCAGGGAGCACAATAATTAACTATCTGATGGCTAAATACACTAAAATTTGGAAGGGGCTGGGTGATGGAGCTCATACCTGTAGTCCTAGCTACTCAGAAGGCTGAGATCTAAGGACTGAAGTTCACTGCTAGCCAAGGCAGAAAAGTCCATGAGACCATTTCCAATTAACTAGCAAAAGCTGGGCTGGAGGTATGGCTTGAAAGGTAAAGCACCAGCTGAGCAAGTGTAAGGCCCCGAGTTAAAACTCCAGTATCTTAAAAAAAAACAAAACACAGAATGGAACTGATGAGTGAACATTCATGATGCCAGGAAGGTGACTGAGAATGTTCTGGATTTCTTTTTTGAACCCATGGCCTTGTGCATGTGGAGGCAATGCTATCTGTAGCAAGTCTGCTCTGCGTTTCTTCTCTGTCATTTTTGCTATCTGAAGTGACAAGAGTTAACTGTGGTCCAAATGCTTGATAAGGAGAATACCCTTTAATTACGATTTTTTCATAGTAATGTGATGAGATTCTTCAAATAAAAAAAAAATGTGACAAACTGTATCTTTCATGTTCCTAATTATTCACCTTCGCACCAGATTTTCACTTTAATGACTATCTGCCCTAAAATCTTCCAGAAGTCATGAATGCTGAAAATAATTTGTGGAGGAAAAAAAAGGAGAGTGAGCATAAAATCCTAGGTCAAGCTACCTCAAGCTCAGCGCCACCACCTCTGAGTGCCAAAGACACAAAACATCCCCCCAAACCACACCCCTCACTTACCAATCAAGCCCTTCTCCGTACTTGAAGTGACAGTTTTGTAAAGTGGGTCAGTGGCGTCCTTGGGGTCCGAGCTGTCGGCTGTGTTGGCAGGGGTCCTGTCCGTCACTCTGCGTCTCACTGTCCCGTAGTTGGGCTCACTCGCGTCTGACAGCGAGCTGGATGAAGCCCAACTCTGTCGCAGCTCATCAGTCTCCAGGCTTCCTTTACACTGGCCACAAGTCCGAGAGCAGCTTTTAGGACAGGAATGGGGCTCACAGTCTGTGGGTTCAACTTCAGCAATGGGATCGTCCAAATGAGTATGTCTGTAGGAATTCAAAAAGTCCCAGCTTTTTGGGTTTGGAAGGTTTTGGAAGTTGTCATGGGAACTGCTTGAACAGGAAGTCCAACTTCCTCGACCGCTGTCGGCAGCTTCTATGATGACGTGCTCATGAGAAATTTCCTCATTGCTCGTGGAAGATGAGACGGCTAAGCCCTTGATTAAAGATGGCTTCGAAAGTGCCCACCTAATTTGGAGATAACGCACAGAATCAACTTGCTGGCTGACTGGAAAATCTCTCCACTGCTTTATTACTGTGCATAAGAAGCTACAGAACATACAGCAAAAAGTACTGAAAAACCTCAAATGCAAGGTTTCCTCGACAATTTTAAGTGATTTTTAAATGAAAATTCAAAAATGAGGTTTGGTATACAATTGTAATTTTGTTGTTGTTGTTGTTGGTCGTGGGGCTTGATGGTATACAATTGTTATTGCTGTCTTAGCCCAGGATGGCCTCCAGCTCTCATCCTGCCTCAGCCTCCCCTGTGCTGGTGTTTTGCAAGAGTGCACCCCGATTCCTGTCCCGAGTAGATGTGTTCATTCATGGCCACTACCTCACTGCATATAGAATTAAGAATTCCCAACTTGAGGAACCTTTTCTTCTTTTTCGCAACTCAGGACCTTGTACTTGTTACACAGGCAGTCTATTACCATTTGAGCCAGCCCCCTAGACGGCATGTTTTGTTTTTCTTTGTATAGCTATTAGTCCAGTAATGCCAAGAAACGGCAACTTCCCCACCCACCTGAGCGGATCCTGGTGCTGAGCACCTCCCGCTCCCCCGCACTCATGGGTCTGTTAGAAACAGTGGCAGCGGCGCTCCATTTTCAAGACAAGGCATTTGACCTTGAGTGGAAGGTTACCAGTGTCTTGTGGACGTCCCAAAGTTTGTGCAGATTAGAAGAGGGCTGGTTAGCAAGGGAGCAATGGACTGCAAAAAAAATGATAAAATGGGCACTAACTGTATGTACCAGAAAGAATGTACCAAGGAAAGCTTGGCAGCCATAGGAGAAAAAAGGCAGGGGAGACAGTGCAAAGCCCACTTCCACAATCCAACCAACTTCAAGAGGCACGTGCATGCCAATCACCCAGCTGGAGGAAGTAATGGAACTTAGGACATCTGGGAGAAAATGAACTTGGACCAATAGTGAACTGTGGGGGGAGGGGGTGTGTGTGTGTCCCCCACGTGCTAGCAATAAAAAGTGCTTGTTATCTTCGAAGAAAGTGTCTGCCATTAGATAAGACACCCAATCTTGAAATCTTGCCATCAAAGGGTTGACCAGGACTGCTTTAAGGATGCATCTACCTTTCTAACCCCCTCTCTCCCTACTTAACCGAAGGCCAATGTGTGGCTCTCTGAAGACAGCGAAGGTGTGCTGCAGTGCTGCCTTCCCACGCTGCCTTTCTCTGCCCTCTCCGTGTCTCTCTACTTCACCTATGGCTGGACTTTGGGCCTGGGGTATGACATCCTGGTTTCAGTCTTCCTCTCCCAGCCTGTCAATCAGGGCACATGGCACGTGGCCTTCTATGTACAATCCACTGAAGCAACCTTTACTCTTACAGAATATGAAGAACCACCTTCCCCCTGTCAACAGCAGGCACCCTTCCAAGTTTTCTGTTTGCTTGTTTTCAGTGGGACAGCGCCTGGCACATGCTAGGCTGACGCACTTAACCCCCGGTCATGCCCTCAGCCCTTTGTCACTTTAGTGTTTTTTTTTTTTTTGGCCAGTCATGAGTCTTGAACTCTGGGCCTGGGCGCTGTCCCTGAGCTCTTCAGCTCAAGACAAACGCTCTACTGCTTGAGCCACAGCGCCACTTCCGGTTTTCTAGTAGTTTATTGGAGATAAGAGTCTCATGGAGGGGCTGGGAAGGTAGCTCAGCGGTAGAATGCATGCCTTTCAAGCATGAGGCCCTGGGTTCGATTCCTCAGCACCACATAAACAGAAAAAGCCGGAAGTGGCACTGTGGCTCCAGTGGTAGAGTGCTAGCCTTGAGCTGAGGACAGAGCCCAGACCCAGAGTTCAGGCCCCATGACCAGCAAAAAAAAAAAAAAAGTCTCATGGACTTTCCTGCCCAGGCTGGCTTTGAACCACAATCCTGAGATCTCAGCCTCCTGAATAGCTAGGATTACAGGCGTGAGCCACCGATGCCCAGCTTTTTTAGTACTTTTTTCATGCATTTTGCCCAGGGTTGGCCTCAGGCCACTTCTCCTCCCCAGGAGTTGGGATCACAGGCATACACCATACACCTGGCTTGTTCAGGTGAGGTCTCACTAACTTTTTGCCCAGGCTGGCCTTGAATCGTCATCCTCCTTGCCCTCTGCCTCCCAAGGAGCTGGTAATACAGGTATGTACTACTACACTCTGCCAAGTTCTTTTGTTGTTGTTGTTGTTGGTTGTGGGGCCTGAACGCTGGGCCCGAGCACTGTCCCTCAGCTCTTCAGCTCAAGGTGAGTGCTCTATCACTTGAGCCACAGCGCCACTTCCAGCCTTTTCTGCTTATATGGTGCTGAGGAATCGAACCTGGGGCCTCATGCATGCAAGGCAAGCGCTCTACCACTGAGCCACCTTCCCAGCCCCCACACACTGCCAAGTTCTAATTGATGGAGAAGACACATAATCATAGAAAGTCACCCAATTCAGTAACACTTGAGCTCATATCCATATGCCTTCCAAGTGGTCCCATTTGCATACTCAGCTTTATGAGCGTATGGCTTGGCCCTCATGTCCCTTCAAGGAATGTCTGACATCTGACGTCTACCATAGCGGAGGAGGTGCAATATCAAGTGTGGGATTTCTGCACAGATGGCTTGTTTTAGAAGGCACAGGAAAGGATGCTTACCCAGAACCAAGCTGACTGTGCTCTCCTATTCCCAGAGGGGGATCGGCCTTTTCCAAGGGGGCACTGAACTCGGGGCCAGTCAGGGGCTGGGACAAACCCCGCTCATCTGGAAGTGCAGCTGACATGGAGTCCACAGAGCAGTTGCTAACGATGCTGGACCTGGAGGAAATCTCGCTGTGGCTGGATTCAGACAAGTTGTCAGATTTAGCTGATGGTAAAAGTGTGTAACCTGAACAAGAAAGAAAACTCTGATCAAGCTACAAAACAAGAGACAAGGCGGTGGGGGCAGCCAGGGATGGATACAGAAAAAATAAAATAAAGGAACCAAAGAAAGCAGTGGCAAATTTGTCTTCACTTATGTGAGTGTAATGGTGCCCACTTCCCCCACCCCCATTCCCCTACAGATCCTTCACCTACCTATCCACACCAACCCACGAAACTTCAAGACAGAAAGTCAAAACTCAGTACTACTGAGAAAATCTGTTTAAAGGAATACCTGCAGGCTCTCACACAGCTTCATCTATTCAATAAAATAAGGAATTAAAACACATTACAAGTAAATATACACGGTACAGTTTCTCAACTCTGCAATCCTGTGCCCTGACATAAACATTTCATTGTCTAACATGAATTCAAAATACCATCTGCTGTAGAGCTAGCAATGGGAGTCAGGACTCAAAGGGAAGAACTGTATTTTGACTTTTTCAAGTAATATATACTTACCTGGATGTTCTGTTTATGCCACCTAAGAAGTCTTGCCACAAGTTGAGAGTTACTGTTTCAGTACTTTTATATTTTAGATACAATTTTATATTTAGTTCCCTTTTCTTCACCAGCTTTCACAGAATATTACATTAAACACCCAAACAAGTCTATAAAATATATAATTAAAAAAAGAGCGTCTACACGTGTGAAACTCTTCTACGACTCACTGCACAGCAGTAAGCTACAAGTTCTTATTTTCTGGGAGACAGGGGTAGGGATGGAGTCAGGTGGGAGGACCCAAAGCAAGTCGGAGGTGTAACGGGTAAACGTACACATAGTCTGTTCTGATCGCTAGACGAAGTCATGCTTTTGTTTAGAAATAAAATGATCCAGTAACCCAAACAAGCCATTCTTTGGTCTCTGGGAAGGGAATGGTATTCATTCTCTTGTTCACACAACAGTGAGGCCAACACTAGAACTCCTGGTAAGAACGAGAGGGTGGTAAGTTGCAAGAATTTGAAGGGCCTCAGCTTCTTCATGTATGAAGAGGAAAGCAGCAACCTTAAAACACTAAGGTCCTTTTCTGCTTTTAAGGAGCTTACAGTTTATTCACGTGTCAATTCAAATCAAGAAAAACAAAGTTATTGTGTAATCACCTTAAGTGGTAGAATTATTTCAAAGAGAAATAAGCCAAGTGGCTTATGGGGCCAAGACTCCGGTCGGCCAAGGCCAGGTAGTCTTCCCAAGTTTATTCAGGAATTCCTGAACCAAGGGATCAGTGTTCATGAACTGATTTAGTTAATTTTTTGGTGGTACTAGGATTTGAACTCAGGGCTTTGGGCTATTGTTGTAGAGTGGCTCTATCACTTGAGCCATGCCCACAGTCCTTTTTGCTTTAATCATGTGTTTATGGTGGGGCTGGCCCGGATGGTGATCCTTTTATTAATGTTCTCATATGGCTGGGATGACAGGCATGCTACCATACCTAGCGTGCTTTGTTGATTACAATGGGAGCCTCTTGAATTTTCTGCCTGGGCTGGCCTTAAACTTTCATCTTCCTGATCATCAGCTCCTGAGCAGCTAGGATCACAGGCATTAGTCACTAAGCCCAGCTTGATTTGTCAATTAAAAAAAATTATTTTATTATTATAAAGCACAGAGTGATTGGTCAGTTTTCAAGAGTTCCAAGAAAACATGGTAAATGAAAAAAAATTAACCTTCCCTTAAAAGAAGTTGTTCTTTTATGGAATATCCTTGCTTCACTATTTCAAAAATTATCTTTGTTAATATTTCTCAAACACTATTCTGAGAAGCTTCTGAAAAGCTGATTAAAATACACATACTTGGCTAATTTCTGGCAATTCATGTCTATGAACTTAGGGATGGAACTCTAATTCCCTCTAAAGTAAGTTTCACAGATGTTGTCTGAGAGCTGTAAACTGTGGATGGTGTAAGAAGCGAATGAGGGAGGGGCTGGGATATAGCTCAGTAGCAAAGCACTTGCCTAGCAGGTGCAATGCCCTGGGTTTGATCCCCAGTACCACAAAAGACGACGAGAAGTGTACTTTGGAACTTCTGGCCTCTCAATCACTTCTCTGTCCATTAGTTTATAAGGTAGTTGAAGTACCAAGATGGCAAATAAATTCAGAGGTAAAGGTTGGAATGGGATTGTAAGTTGGGTTTTATGGTGAAAGTGAACCGTGGTTCCTCAAAAAGCTCCCTCTGATTTCACTCAAACTCAGCTGCTGCCAGTAGGAAATAAAGCAAACTACAGAAAACAAAAGCATCATCTTTACTAACTGAATACATTAGTAATATATAACATATATACAAATAAGGCACTTCAATATTACTTTGTTGTAATACTGATCATATAAAATGCTTGGCAAGAGAAATTCACTAAATTGTCTGTCCGACCTTTAACAAGTTGCTTAATTCAAGCTACATTTACATTAATAACTGGAAACAAACTTGACACTAATGAAATAAGGCACTGTCCTCAGAGCGTCTTTCTCCTTTTAGACTTGAATCGTGTATAGAAGCAGCGTAAAGCATTACTGTCGCCTCTGCTATTGGAATTGAAGATGGTACTCCCTTTCTCATCTTTGATGTTGCTCCCAACATCCTTCACTTTCTCAGAGCTGTCTGTAGCTTGATGGTGATCTGCGTCCTCTTTTTGGCTGTGGACTAGCCTCTCCCTTGAAAGAGCTCTTTCCCTAAATCTTCTAAACGGGGATGTCATTCTTTTTCTGGTTGTGTCATCACAACATGTCCTGTCTCTATGCTCCTCAGTGGCTTTCTTGATCCTGTCTGTTCTTTTGGCTGTGCTCCCGGTAATCTGAAGGATTTTCTTTTGCAAGTAAACCCCACCTATTCCGGGGCAGCTCTGGCCACTGATCTCGGTGCTGGACTCACAGGGAGGGGATGAGGAAGGCCCTGAGGGGCGGAGCAGGATGCTGGGATCAGATAGGACACTGCCAACTGGAGGGAGAGATGCAAAAACCCTGACATGGTCAATCCATTCTTTCCAATTCATCACAATTCACCTGCTTTATATAACATCACACTGTTAAAATTAAAATCTAGTAACATATTCTTAATGCACGGAAAATGAACTACATAGCATTAACACATTACTTATCCCAAGACAGAATGCAGGAGAGAGATTACCTTGATCAGAAAAGGCTGTTATAAAAACACATTATAAATCAAGCCCAATTGGTAAAATCCTAAAGACAAATAGGACAAGAATGTGAGGTAATCATAGCCATTTCTCAAGAGAAACGATGTTTATGTCTAGAATTTTCAGGTGGATTTTAATAAGAAAAACCCGAACAGGACATACAGCACAACAGGTGCATTTATAAAGCACTGCTATCCTGCAGGATAGAGCTTGATTTGTTTATTTCTTGCCCATTTTAAGCGGGAAATTTTCAGCTTAATTGTTCACTCAGTACTTGTAAGTAAGCACCTGAGCTGCTAGTCCCCTCTCCCCCGTCTCCCCTTCCTTGCTGGGAAGTGAATTAGTCCTCTGGTAGTACCACAGAGACAGGGCAGAGCTGGACAATATCCCTGAGGTCTGTATACATATCTTGTCCTTTGCTTTTAGAGTAGATGACACTTCTGCTTTGCAACTAGAGGAAGTCCCCTTTTTTTTATCCCAATATACTTTAATACAGAAAGAGAAAGCATGTAGACCTAAATTATAGAGATGCAAAGATCGGAAAGTATGTTTTTCCCTGACTTTGTGGGCAAATCATCAAATTTCAGGCTTGTTACTGTAAAAGGACAAACATTAGGACAATGTGAACGGCAAAGGGAAGGTTTTTTTTTATTTTAAGGTTTGCATTTAGATAAACCTATCTATTTAAAGGCAGGAGATTATTTTTCTATAAACATACAACTAGCAAAAATATAAAATGAAGCATCGTTTCCAATGCTCCTGGGTGTTCCAAGATGGAAGCTAACCTCCTTCAGCTCCAAGGAAAACGATGTTCAAGGTCTTATGATTTTTAAAACTTTGTACTTGTTTAAAATTCTCCTTGTGAAAAACATGAAATAGGCTATATTAAAAAGTAAATTATTAGAACGCAACTAATTTCAAAGCTCAATAAGAACTAAGAACAGACCCTAGTAATGTTCTTTTTTATGTTTAGCCATGTAACTATTTCTGCTTTTAATAGATACTTTTTATTGTAAAGATACTGTACAGAGGGGTTACAGTTACATGAGCAAGGTCATGAGTGCACTGACATGTTTTTGCTCAACCACAGATTTGGACAAAAACATTTCTATGCAAACTTCTGCAGTCAGTTGGAGTTTTGGCCAAACACACATAACAATCTCGAACAGTTCTGTGGAGAATTGTGTCAGCCTTCAGTAAAAATAACTTTAATAAGCTCACAGATCTGTCAACATCACTGAGAGACAGCGGGAGGAGCGCTCTAGTCCAAAGTGTGTGGATTTCCCGTTGCAGTGAGCAATGGAGGCACTGTCCTGTCCTCCATCCCCTCCCCTAACACAGCCGGGCGCCGTTCTGTTCACAGAGCTGTTTACAATGGGCTGGACAGCTGCCCAGCTTCTCCAAGGGGAGGAGGCTGTGGATCACTTCTGCCAGAGTGTTAAGAGCACATGGACACTGTTCGTTTGGATCATCTGTCTAATCAGAGGCCTTGCTGCCAGTCCCACTGTCAGCACTGAATGAGAGAGGACGCACCTCTATGTGCTTCAAAGCGAGTGTGATCTACCACCAGAGCAGAAGCTTGTGTTATAAATACACCCATTGCACATATATTTTATGTCCTGTTTATTTTCTGTAGCACTCTTTAGTGAACATGTGAGGGAACATTCCCACCTCTGGTGTGAGCACAGAAAGGGCAGGTTGGCCTGGGGTGGCAACGGAGAAGAGACAAGACACTATACCACACGCTGGGCTTTACGCAACGTATGCAACGAAACCCCAGCTTCCAGAAAAGTAAAATACCAACAGGCACAGCAGGGGGCAGAGCCAGGGTTCCTTCAAATTTAGATCTGATGTTACCACACTTCACTAACACAGAGCAGATAGTAAGAACATGCCTTGAAGAGATGAGACTCAGAGCAGGAGTTGCTCTTTCCTGCTGGAATGACGCTGTCTCTCTGACACATGCACCATCCCGTGCTGTAATCACCATTGTTTGGTATCTGGGGGAACTGGGGGTTGAACTTGCATGTGGTAGGCAGGTGCTTTACTCCTGGAACCACATTTGTCCTTCTTTTGCTTTAGGGACAGGGTTTTGTGCATTTGCTCGGGCCAGCCTGGCTGTGACCCTCCTGGTTATGCTTTTCAGGTAGCTGATGACAAATGTGCACCACACCCAGATACTGCTTGAGATGGGGATCTTGGTAACTACCCCCCCCCCCCCGGTCAGTTGTGGGGCTTGAACTCTGGGCCTGGGTGCTGTCCCTCAGCTCTTCAACTCAAGGCGAGCGCTCTACCACTTGAGCCACAGCACCACTTCTGGTTTTCTGGTGGTTTATTGGACTTTCCTGCCCAGTGCAATCCTCAGATCTCAGCCTCCTGAGTAGCTAGGATTACAGGTGTGAACCACCAGCTCTGGGCCTTGGTAACTTTTTGCCTGGGCTGGTTTTGACCCACAAACATTCTGGGTCTTTGCTAGCCACATAAAATGGCATCTCCTTGTACTGCCCAGGCTAAGAAAAGTTTGGGCATGAATTAGGAAAATGTATGTGCAAGATTTCATTTTTTACATCACAAAATTCTGAATAAATCCCATAAAGGTAAATGTTATTTTAAAGCTTGATAAAGGAAAAAAAGACACTGTATTAGAAAGAGCAAAGCATCAGCCTCAACATTTCTAAATATTTTATAGTTGGTTAAAAACTTTGTAGATATTTTTGCAAATACTCCATAGAAATGTTCAAGTATAGAAAAATTTGACAGATAGTAACACTAAGAGTTGGCACGGACCAAAATAACCATGACTTCTGTCTTCATTTTTATGTATGCTTCTCACCCTATCACACTTTGAATAATGGATTCCTAGTTACATGAACACTTGAATAAATCAACAAGAAACATCAAAGTTCAAAAAGTAGGCTTTGAGAGTTATGCTTTTCTGGATGCTTTTTTATCATTTGCTCTTTAAAAAAAAGACATGATTTTTTAGTAGTTGTACAAAGGAATTACCATTCAACAGATCAGTTTATGAACATAATGTACCTTGGTTGATATCATCCACTTCTTTCCCATCCCCCAAAAGTTCTTAATTTTGCAGGCTATGTAGTAAATTTATGACTGTATTCTTTCCTATCACTTGTGTGTAGACGGAAAAGCAAAGGGTGTGTCGGAAAGCACTGGATGGGAGCAGCTGACTTACCTTTGCGCAGGGAGCCCTGAGGAGACGCAGGGGGACTGGAATGCAGAGAGGACGCCACGGAGACAGTGTCTTCTGCATGTCTCTTACCACTGACTTCTTCAGTGCCTAAAACTTTCTGAGGTAAATTTGTACCTAAAACTACAACCAAAGAAGCCAATGAACATCAGTCACCTGGAAGTGCGGCTGCCTAGACTGCTACACAAGCAGAGCCACTGGTGCACAATGGCCAGTGTTGCCACCCGGATGCTGGAGAGGGACGGCCGCGGGTCATGGCACAGATTCTTATATCTAGGTTTCTCATTCAATGTCAGCTGGTCAGCCCTACCAACACTGTTTTGTTTGGTGGCATGAGGGAACTCAGTTTCAAACTAGTCTAAATACAGTACCCCTCAAAGGACACAGTTATTTGCAATCCCGTTAGAAGACAGAGACTGAAGCTCTTCTCTGCCCTCTAAGAGGAGGCCTGGGCAGTGAGGGTCTGGGTCGTACTGTCTTCTCTCCCTCCCTGTGGTGCAGCTGTGCTGTGGGGACACGAGAGCCGGCAGCCATTTTGCAAGAGCTCTAAATTCATGTTACAGGAGGAAAGTAAACAACACAAAGAATCATGAAAAAAAATAGCATGGAGCTCACAGGAAACATTCTTATAAAATTCTACCACTATCTTTGTCTAAGAGCTGGCCTTGTTCAGTGTAGGTCAAACTTAAACACTGCTCAACTTTTTATATCCATCCTCCCCTGAATGAAGCAGCACCAAGGAAGCAAGCAGAGTAACAGTAACAGCATTTCCGCAATGAACAATACTCACACCCCTAAATGCAGTTAACAATGTAAACACGATAGATCTATAAACAGTGCCATATAACAAAGGGAAGAAAGTTGGTACAGTATCACCTCAGGCAATGATACCCAGGTAAGAAACCAGAGCTAAATTCCTTCCTCCTTCCATTCCAACTAAGAAATCATCTATCAACCTTTCCAATTTTGTATTCCATGTTCTCGACCAATTTTTCACCAAACAAGTCCAGGCCTTGAGCATCTTTGAACAAACTGGCCCATCAGCTTTCTTCTCAAACTCCGACCACTAGTCCTGCTGTACTCCACCTTCCTTTTCAAAAGGGAACTTGCACTGGAACTTGCTTGCCCTTCCTTTTCCCTCCCTCTTTCCCTTCCATCTGCTTACCCACCTTTCTTTTTCAATATCTGTTATAGCCAAGGCTTTGAAATTTCCATCCTCCATTTCGCAAGAGTAAGGGTTACAGGCACGCATGTACCGTATTACTTAGCTTCAAATCTCTTTATGGCTTCTCACTGACAAATTTCCTTTCTGCCCAGCAAGTTGTAATTTCAACATAGTGATGGCTTCACTTCTTGTGCCCTGGAAGCTGCTAGCATGTTGGTTAAAAGCAAGGACTTTAGAGCCACTCAGCCTGGGCTCAGCCCCCAGCTTGCCCACTTACTAGCAGTATGTATGTAACTACTGGCTGTCTTAGAGGATTATTCTGTAGAGATCTAAGGGCAGTAAGGCCCTGTGACCCACGCGGGACAGTCACAGGGCACTTAGTGTTAGTCTCAGGCACTACAGCTTTTCAACACTGCATGTCACTTGTGGAGGGCTTAGAGCCCCTGGCAGATCCCAGGCTGTTTCTGCTGCTCAAATCAACTTTCTGAAACCTTCCTATTCATTTTGGGGGAGGCAGTGGTTCTGCTAGTTTTATGTTTTTCGTCTACAATTTTCGTCTACAAATGGTTGTACGAAGGGTTATGACTTAACATGTCCATTTATACATATGTGTGCAGTGCACTTTCTGCCACTCTTCACCCCTCCCCCCCGCCCCGTCACATCAAGTGTCTTTCTTCACACAGTACATTGAGTATTACGACTGCTAGCCCACCCTCCTCTCCTCTCCTCCCAACTTCACTCAGTGCTTCAGCTTAAAAGGTTTGCACCAAGGACTTTCCCTGCTGCATGTATGATGTTTTGCAGTCAGTGTGGTCTCGGACATGCACACGCCCCATGTGTGTTCACACATGTGCAATGCTATGTGGTCAGTGTGGTCAGGTATGCATGTGTATGCCCCTCCCTCTGTGTGTTCCCACAGACACTTCCTGCTTCATGAGCCTTGAAGTTCTGTGTAACTGTTACCTTAAAACAAAATAAAAAACCTTCAGAAGTCTCCTTTTCTCTGCTAAAAGCCTGTTGATTTTGCTCTTCATACGCAGCATGTACCCCAGGATAGCAAACCCATTATTAACAAGTTATCTGTCTGAGGGTCTGAATCAGTGGGTTCAAAATGTGGCAAAGAAGGTGATTCTAATTGAACTTTGTATCTCAAATAAGGTCAACTTACATTCACAAACTTCCACCAAATATGTATTAGGTATAATTCATAGGCCATGTAACGTTGCTAGAAATTAAATCCAATCTAGCCTCCAAAAATAATGATCCTATCAAAACAATAATTAAAAGTCACTTGGGCTGGGTGCTGATGGCTCACACCTCGTAGCTACTCAAGATGCTGAGGTCTGAGGACCATGATTCAAGCCAGCCAAGGCAGGAAATGCCACAAGACTTTTTTTTTTCCTTGGTCCAAGATCTGCTTGGTACCTGCGCCACTTTCACTCATTGACTAGCGCGCTACCAACTCCAACCCCAACCCCAAGGGGTTGGTTATTTATTTTTCTATAGACTCTATCTCCAGTTAACCAACAAAAAGCTGGAGGCAGAGCTGTGGCTTAAGTGGTAGAGTGGTCAGCCTTGAGTGAAACCCACTACCAGCACATACGTACATGCATGCGTGCGTGCACGCACACACACACACACACACACACACACACAGAGTTGCACAATGTCAATATGACCTATAAGGGGGAAAATGTGTACTTTACACTGAAATACTTTACATTTTTCCTCCTAATTAGGTTTTCAGAGGAGGTTTTTGCATAACAACCAACTACATAATTGATTAAACACCTATCTGCATGTAGGAAGCCCTTGATATATTGAAACCAAATCTTGAATTGAACTTGGTACCTACATCAAGATTTGATGTAAATACCCAAAATATGAGGCTATAAGTTTCCTGTTGATAAAAACAGATTCCAATAAAATGAAACAAGTTGTGACTCATGAAGTGATAAATAACATTACACAAGCTAACATCTGATCTTTGGATTATGGACAATCCTTTGTCCATTTCCCTGGAAATGTGAATGAAATGAATCTTACTGTAAATACTCACTCAGTGCAGTGTCTCTAGCTTGCACCTTCTTCCTGACGGGATGCAGGTTAACGGCGGGCACCGGAAGCATCTGGCTCCCCCTGTGGGGCTGATGCAGGTGGGCTTTAGCTGTTTGGCTAGCTGACCTCAAAGGCACAGGAGACATTTCAGATGATTTGGCTGATCTTTTCTCACTTAAATTCTTGGTCACTAACAGGAGAGAGAAGAAATAAGTAACTTTTTTTTTCTTTTAAACTGTGCTAGTCTTGGGCTTGAACTCAGGGCCTGGGCACTGTTCTTGAGCTATTTTGCTCTACCACTTGAGCCACAGCTCCACAACAACACTCGTGGCTTTTGCTGGTTAACTGGAGGTTAGAGTCTCAAACTTTCTTCCCTCAGCTGGCTTCAAACTGTGATCCTTAGATCTTAGCTAGGATTACTGGTACCTCACAGTAACTACTTTTTTAGGCAAGACTTATTACCACTAATATAAACAATACATATAAAACTTATTTTTAGCCCCCTTAAAACTAATTTTCAAGGAATTTCATTTAACTAAAATATTACCTCTGAAATTACTGTAGAATAATCTGCTACTGGAGTTTGCGCTCAGGACCTAGTTACTGCTCTACACTGGAGCCATGCCTTCAGTGCTTTTGGCTTTGTTTTTTGGGTCCGGTCGTGGGGCCTGAACTCTGGGCCTGGGCACTGTCCCTCAGCTCTTCAGCTCAAGGCTAGCGCTCTACCACTTGAGCCACAGCGCCACTTCTGGCTTTTTTTGCTTATGTGGTGCTGAGGAATCGAACCCAGGGCCTCAGGCCACCTTCCCAGCCCTGGCTTTTTTTTTTTTAAAATTTGTTTTTGGGTTTGGTTTGGCCTCTGACTTTGATTCTTCTACCTATTACATGGGAAGCATATGTGCAACTCAGTTTGAGATGAGGTCTTGCTAACTTGCTTTCCTGGGTTGGTCTAAAGCTGCAGTCCTGTCCAGTAGAGCTACCACATCCAGCCTTCCTTCTTAAATAATTCATTATACTCACCAAGTATCTCCACCCCCACCACCATTCTGCACAAGGTTAAGATGGTGTCATCTATATTACTAAACACGCTCGCTGTATCAATCCCAGAGGCCTACACGGCATTCTAGGGACAACGGTGGAACGAACGACAATCTGATTACATCATTGACCTTCCTTATGCCTTGCACATAAGAAAGCACCCAAATCCCGAAAACAAAAATCTCAAAGGTCCTGGCAGCAACCTGCTTCCCTCAACTCCACATTCTCTGGGTTTCTATTAAGTCAGCTTTAATTCCCTAGGCTGGGAAATTCCTCCCCCTTGTGACAGATGAATTTCACAAAAGCATGGAAGTCTCTTTAATACCCTTTGTTCTTCAGTATAGAAAAGAGAAACAAATCACTGCCTCTGTTGTATAAAAGCCAATACTATCATCCAAAGGAAAGTGTTCATTCTCCAGACAGTCCTGTCAATCCTTCAGACAGCTGATCAGGATGGTTCATGCAGGTACAACCTCGGCACTTTATGATGTATTTGTTTTAAACACCAAAAGAAAAGCAAAAATAAACGTTCAACTTGTCTCAATGTAGTTATAGTAGTGACTCACCATGTTCCCCCAACAGCCATATCCTGGAACTCCCCTCCCTCCACCACTAAACAAATATACCTGTGGTTTTGAACAAATATACCTGTGGTTTTGGAGGAGAAGGCCGGAGACCTAGGCCGCATGTAATGCTGACACCCCTGATGAGCACAGAGGCTGTGGAGACTTTGAAGCGCCTCGGTCAAAATAACACTACTTATCCACTCCACCTCCATCTCACCTGCTTCCACCCACGACTCTTCTCCACTCTATACTCTTTCTCCTAATAGTTAAAGAACCCGAGTGGTAAGGGGGGAAGAGGGTACGTATTTCCCTTCCTAGGCTTCGTTCCTAAAGAAAGCCCATTGGTATGTTGGGTTCACTTTTTGCCCTTCCTTTATTCTGATACTCTCATGACTGTGTTTCCTTATAGTTAGGAGACAGACATTCATTATGACAGCCTACAGAATATTTTTAGGGCAAGAATCAGGTAACATCTCTGAGAATGAAAATACAGGGATTGGGCTGGGAAGGTGGCTCAGTGGTAGAGCGCTTGTCTTGCATGCATGAGGCCCTGGGTTCGATTCCTTAGCACCACATAAGCACCAAGAAAAAAGCTGGAATTGGTGCTGTGGCTCAAGTGGTACAGTGCTAGCCTTGAGCTGAAGAGCTGAGGGACAGCGCCCAGGCCCAGAGTTCAGGCCCCATGACCGGACCCAAAAAAAAAAAAGAAAATACAGGGATTCCTGAGACCATACACAATGGCTTATTAAATAACTGAATCCTCTGGCTAGAGCTATGGCATTTTCCCCTCCCCTCAATATAAACCAAGTAAAAGCATCTTGTTTTTAAGAGCGGGTACTGGGATTTGAACTCAGGGCTGGGGTGCTGTACCTTAGCCTTTTCACTCAAGGTTGGCCTTCTACCACTTGTATCACAACTCCACTTCTGGCTTTTTTTGGTGGTTAATTACAGTTAAGAGTTTCACAGACTTTTCTGCTGGGTTAGCTCTGAATCTTAATCCTCAGATCTCAGCCTCCTAAGTCGCTAAGATTATAGACATGAACACTGGTACTAGGCCTCACTGTCCTTTCTAGCTATTAACAGTATCAGAATGTGTCTGGTATTTTTCTTATTTCACTTCACTGCTACCTAGTATTATCTCAAATGTTTTAAACAGATTCTGCTTGGTAATTATTTTTCCATTAAATTTAGAAAGGTAAAAATTTCACTTGTTGCTTCATTTACAGGTGAATGCAAAAAATGTTCTCAAGCAGAAATACAGCTCTATAATCTAAGATGTCTTTATAAGGCTCTTTAAAGAAAAATTACTTATCTATTTCTCACACACAGTAAATATCAGCAATGACTGGAATTTGTACATGATTAATAGACTCCCAGGATGCTTGAGTAGTCAGTAAGGCTTCTGAGCCAATTAACTATTTTACTGGTGCTTCAGCACAATTCCTGAGAATGAAGTGTCTATTGTGTTGGGATCTTTAGTGTCACAGAAAGGAAAGTGTGTACTCACAGGTACCATATGCAGGCTCCCACTGCAGTGACATCACCTGGAACTTCTCCTCATCTGTCTCCACATCCAGACCTGAGAGATACTGCTTCACTTTGCGTGCCATTTGGGCCTCCTCATACAGCTTCTTGGCGTTCAGCAGAGAGCTGCGGCGTGCCCGTTTTTTGTGAGTACCTCCTTGCACATCCAGCATGTTTGAATTTGTGCTGCCTTGACTCAATGACCTGGAAGATGGAAATCATAGTCAGAGGCTGTAAATAGAAATGAGCACAGGAGAATGAAGAGTAAAGGATTTTGTTCTGTTAATGCTATGGCATGCTGATGGAAATGAGTTAAAAGACAGAGCATTAATGCAAAAGTAATTGGGCATACATAGCGCTGTTCTGAATTAAGAACTAGAATGAGCAAAATACAGCAGTCACAAGAACAAGATACAATTCCTCCCTGAGCAACGACTCCATCCGACCTGCATTGGTGTCTATGTAATCTGTGGCACAATTGTGCTAAGAAAAAAAAAAAATCCTCTGCTCCAAGGCCACCTACACCAAGGGTTCTTCTGCAAGGAAGTTTCTACAGCATCTTTGCTTGTTTGTATTACTTGAGACATGCTATTGCAATCACCATGTCTACAGCAGGTTCAACTGAGCATGTGGATTAATTTTACCAATTACCACCTTTTGGCCAAAAATTAAGACAGTAACCAAAAAAATAATTAGCTGAGAATAACAACACTTACATACTTAATTCAATGAAGCCAGACATCAGATGTAACACAACAGTTCCATTCAAACGTAAAACATTGGGTCTAAGTATAGGGATCTGAGATTTTACTTCTGCAATGGCCTTGACTGGTTAGAAAGAATCATAATTCAAATGAGCTACAGCTTCACTCTGCTCTTTCTGTCATGCTTCCTTACACAAAGACTACATCTAGAAATAAAGGAAAACAGCCTTGTGATGCTGTTTGCCCTAATAAGGCGAGCAAGATTGTTAGATGGTTTCTGTTTTGAAGGCAGTTGCCATTCTAAGCTAATTAACAATATCTCTCAGCCTACTTTTTATACCACTCTCCCTCCCACACCCCCACTGCCTATTGGGATGCTATCCCTGAGCCTCTTTGTGCTCAAGGTTAGTGCTCTGCTACTTGAGCCACAGTGCCACTTTCTGGCCTTTTCAGAGTAATTTATTGCCCAGGCTGACTTTGAACCATGATTCACAGATCTCAGCCTCCTGAGTAGCTAGGATTACAGGCATGAGCCACCAGTGCCCAGGTCCACATTCTGAAAACATTACCAACACTGTACAACAAGTTGCTCTTCAGTGCTCACATACCTCGTCTAAAATAAACACTGAATCAGAATGTTTTTGCTGTAAATCAAGTGGAACAGTTGAACAACTATTACAGCATTGTTTCTGGTGTCACTTTTTTTTTTTTTTGGGTCCGGTCCTGGGGCCTGAACTCTGGGCCTGGGCACTGTCCCTCAGCTCTTCAGCTCAAGGCTAGCGCTCTACCACTTGAGCCACAGCGCCACTTCCGGCTTTTTTCTTATGTGGTGCTGAGGAATGGAACCCAGGGCCTCATGCATTACAAGCCAAGCGCTCTACCACTGAGCCACCTTCCCAGCCCATCTGGTGTCACTTTTAAAGATCCTTGAACCTTTCTATTGCTATTGATCAGTAGAGAAACCAGTATGCAGAAACTTCAAAACTTGCAGAATGGTTGGGGAAAAGTCCAGAGATATTAATGAATTATATTTTCAACCTGTTGGGAGAACTTGATCATAAAGAGTTAAGCCAGAAGGCATAAAAAACCTCACAAAACTAGGGGCTGGGAAGTTGGCTTAGTGATAGAGTGCTTGCCTCGCATGCATGAGGCCCCTAGGTTTGATTCCTAAGCACAGAAAAAGTTGGAAGTGGTGCTGTGGCTCAAGTGGTACAGCGGTGCCTTGAGCTGAAAAGCTGAAGGACAGCGCCCAGGCCAAGTTCAGCCCCCACAACCGACAACAACAACAACAAAAAACTAGCTTTTAAGTATTTGTAAAGCCAACTTAAAGAGTCCAACCTGAGGAACTTTTAGTTCTTTAATGGTGTGCTTTAGAAATGATGTGCTGCCAATACACTCACTGTAAGGCACATTGGACAGTACTGTGGTATGTGTGTGTATAAGTATGTGCACATGTATTTGTACATGGAGGTGGGGAGGATGAAAACCAGAAGCTAAAGACAGAGTGATCCAGAAGATTCATATTCTGATCATAAAGTTTTAGAAAGCCTAAATCAATGTACTTTGCTTATATTTTCCTCTTTAATATACATGAGGGTGATGTGTGATAAGAATCCAAACCTAAGTTCATAGGCTTATGAGAGCTGCTTTAAATAAGTACACAGTAAAAAACTTGAGCAGTTAGAGGAGAATGCAGTGATTTTTCTTAGTACATAAAACCAACTGGTGACATCTTGGGCTCAAATGCAGAAAAATCAAGTCTAACATTTAGGAGACTTTAATACTAATATTTAGTGATTTTTATCTTAGCGGATATTCCAAATTAAACAGGTTGGAGGCATGGCCAGTTGGTAGAGTGCCAGCCAATGAGCAAAGTTGTCAATTACCAAGTCTGAGTTCCAGTCTTGGCCAAAAAATAAAAACAAATAAAAAATAAGGTCAATAAATGGAGAATATAAAACCTCAAGAAATGAAAACATTATCACTATAAAATACCTTTGTAAACTATTTCCAAAATAGCAAATTCTCTCTGTAAAAGGAAAATACCTAATGTACACAAGCATCAATATCAGACAAGGCAAACCCTACAGCTGAAGGAACAGGGACTATGGTAATTAACATAAGGCATTCAAACACCCACTAGGATATACTGTCAAGTATGCTGCACAGTAGTAATGCCAGGTTTCAACTTCTGTGTTCAGTAAGAAGAACCAGAAAAGACCAAGACGTAAATGTATGATGCAGAAGAAAGTACACAAGAAACACAGAGTAGGAGGAAGAAAATAGCAGGAAAGTCAAGGTGACCAAGCTTTAACAGAAAAGACCACAATAAGACAAGGCTCAAGGAGGTGGCTCAAACACAAAAACAAACAAAAAACCCTCTTACCTGTAATAAATGCAACTAACTTCAGTTTATTATCATTAAAATAAACAAAAGCCCCCTTATGCATCTCATCACCCATAAAAGCCATTTCTTCCTTCATCTAAAAATAAAGGAGTAGGCACATAATATATAAAATCTTCAATACTCTATGATTCTAAATAAACCCCTATGAAAGGGCAGGGAGCTGAACTTCCTTTAACAAAAAAAAAAAAAAAAAAGTGACAGTTTGATTCTTTCACAGCTTTACAGAGAGGTAAGTTTGTAAGTAGAGCTGATATCAGCTTCAAGTCTCAGGCATTTGTGGATGTGAGGAATGTCATAATATAGCTTGGAAAAGCTGCCTATAATCGGAGAAGTCAGAAAATAAAACCTTTATCAACAGACCTCTCATCCATGTTTACATCTTTAACAAGGTATTTCTTACTTTTATAAAACATGGTATTTACTAAGAGTGAACTCGAATCAAACTGCCTAGGTTTGGCTATACTATTAATGAGCTGTAAGACTGCATAATTCTATTTTCCCCATCTGTGACTTGAGAATAAAAGCATCTACTCATAGTATGAGAGGAAAATTAAATAAGATCACTGATTTAAGAGTGCTTGGGATAGTAGTATATGGAATATACTAAGTATATAATATTCAATACTATCATCATTTAACTGAAACCTGCTAAATTTAAATCTTAAAGGCCTTGTGGCATGTCAATAGAAAAAAAACAACAACAACAAATACCCCAAACCCATTAGAACACAAAAAAGCTAGTTCTATCTCTGCTTTTACCTTGTTAGCAAAAGGCACTTGTCAGGAATATAGGCTGACAGAGTTAATAGAATGCATGCTATTTGATATGCGTGCATTAATGAAAAAAGGATGCAATATATACGTGTATATATATGTTAAGAGTTGCACAACCTTTATTTCAGTTGTGTTTCTCTCTACACTTACCCCAGACTCCGCCACCTCTTCTTCCTGTAAGCAAGAGCCACAAACATTGAAGCATGTGTTTGAATAGGAAAGCACAGATAAAAGACAACAGTTGAGAGTCACAGAAATTATGCAGACAGAACAGAATGGAAAAATTTTATTAAGAAAAAAAAATCACAGCTTAACAATAAAATGACATTTAAGGAAATGCAGAATATTACAGTAAGTTATGATAGGTCTTGAAGGCCAGAAAAACTCCACATATATTTCTAAATGTTTCAGATCAAATGCATGTATGTGTGTGTGTGTGTGTGTGTGTGTGTGTGTGTGTGTGTGTGCCAGTTCTAGGGCTTGGACTCAGAGCTTGGGCACTGTGCTGAGCTTTTTGGTTCTAAGTTTGTGCTTTACCACTTGAGCCACAGCTCCACTTTCAGCTTTTAGCTGGATAATTGGAGATAAAGAATTTCATGGACTTTTCTGCCTGGGCTGGGTTTGAACCACAATTTTCAGATCTCAGTTTTCTACTGAGTAGCTACAGGAGTGAGCTACCAATGTCTAGGTCCAAATGTATTTTGAATACCTAATTCATGAAGCAGTTAATGTGAATAATAAAGAAGCTTAGGGGTAAACATTTACTTAGTATAAATCTAGAATTCAGAGTTTCTAGGGAATTTTTAAAAAAAGGATCTTTCTATATTTATATCTCTATATTATTCTATATCTGTATTTGTATTTTATCTGTCTATATTTATATTTTTTGTAGATGGTACCACTGAGCTACCTCCCCTGTCTATATACTGAATACTGTCTTTCTGAATACTATTCTTGAAAAAAATGTGAGCCATATAACTGACAGGTGAAATTACATTTCACCTAAGTGGGGAAATTTCTCTGGCAAAGAATTTAGTCAGTAATTTTGGCTTGCAAATCCAACTTAAAATGGATAGAAAGTTATATCAGCAAGTTAGGGTGGTGGCCTAGATACGTGTTCTAGAAGCACCTGGAGGCTGAGGCAAGAGGTACATGTGGTAGAGGCCAGCTTGAGCAACATGGTGAAACCCCATCTTAAAAAAACCTGTCTTGGCCTGGCGCTGGTGGTTCACGCTTGTAATCCTAGCTAATCAGGAGGCTGAGACCTGAGGATCATGGTTCAAAGCCAGCCTGGACACGAAAGGCCGGGAAACTCTTATCTCCAATAAACCACCAGAAAACCAGAAGTGGCGCTGTAGCTCAAGTGGTAGAGCGCTAGCCTTGAATGAAGAGCAGAAGGACAGCACCCAGGCCCAGAGTTCAAGCCACACAATGGACAAAAACAAACAACAACAACAACAACAACAACAACAACAAAAAACCCAAAACCCTCACTGTCTTTATGCTATGTGTCACTGTTTGAATAAAGATGCCATTTCGCTTACAAATGGGATTAATGCTAAAAGGAATTATTTTGCCCATATGAGGTAAGTACACATCACCATCATGAGCAATTGCTTAAGGAAAGATGCTATATTTTAGTATTGGTTGATCAAACTGATTTGGGAAATAGATTTAAACATATATGTTTGTTTTCCCTTATACCTTTCACTCAATTGAGGCTTTTCCCAAGGAAACTGACAGTTTTTTTTGGTTCATTCCTGATTATATCTTGTACTTGGTATATTATCATCTGGTCTGACAGGGTCACAAATTCATGTCTTCAGAGACCAGAATAGTAACAAATATGAGTGAATGACAACAGGGAGTGGAAGGGCCACTGTACAAAGGACACACACACAACAAAAGCAGACAAATAAGCCTCCTCCAAGTTTGATTTGGTCCCTGGTTCTTACTGTTTTTTTTTGTTTTTTCTACATTTTTGAGCAATGACAGCTCTCTCAGTGATCTCAAGGGGCAGAAATAGGATGGTAGAGAAGAGGAGATCTGGCACACTCCTTCCTTTCAAACTTTGACAATTGCTCAACTAGAGTAAACGGTGAGATCTACTACAAAAACAAACTGCAGAAACAAAGATGTCTAAATAGCTGTGTAAGAAAACAAAATAATCCAGACACGTGCTGGTTTTGTATTACAAAGGATTAGGTATTTTTGTTTCCTTGGGAGAGGAGATGGAGGAGGGAAGAGGGAGCAAGAGATGGAAGAGAGAGGAAGAGACAGAGGGGGAGAAAGGAAGAGGAGGAGAAAGAAAAAGGGGGGAGAAAAAGAGGAGGGAAAGAGGAGAAAAGGAGACAATGGGGGAGACAATATATATGTGTGGAGATTTTTATCTACTTCTGTAAATTATTCCACTTTAATATCCTATATAGAGATCCAAAAGAAAATTAGAAAAATTTAAATTATAATATCTATAGACACTCTAAAAATTATGAAAATTAGTAGGAACTTCTTATCAACCTACTTGCTATAAATTTCATATAGATATTTGAGAAAGCCTTTGTATTTTATTAAAAATGAATTTTAAAAAGTATTTGTAGAAGACCAGATTAATAGAGTAGAATTATTTTCTAAGGATAACAATTAAATTTGTACCTTCTAAATCCTGTGAAAAAATTCATCCAAATAAAGAGTAGCATTATAACTTGAGGAAAAAGAACTGCTTTAAAAGAATGAAGTTTGAATTAGAACTGTATTTTTAAGAAACTAGGTAAAAATAAAAGACATACTACTGACGGATACTTTCTATGTTAGATTAGAAACCAGATTTTCTTAGGTGTGTATGCTGGAAATTTAAAAAACAATATAGACCTACTAATACACTCAGATAAGTTATAATGAAAGCTGGGGTTCAAATCTCGGCAAATCAGAGAAGCTGCTCTGCTGCTCTGCTCTACATCTTCAGATGTACTTCCTACCTGTTAGGTTATTGTGAAACTATTTGAGAATGATGTGGGTCAGGCCCTTGCAGTGCAGGAAAAATGATACACATGAGTATCTGTCACTCTGGATGCCTCTTGGTGTCATACCTCTGTCGGAACATCATAGCGGGGTCCATATTTGCAGAAGTCATTCGAACAACTTGACGAATTTCCTTGGCAATCATTCTTAGCTTCTCAAAGTTTACTAGGCCATCTACTTTGGAGTCGTTTCCTATAATGTATAATAAAATCATATAATAAAAGCAAGTTTTTAAGCTTTCAAATTAACGTTTGGCTTATTTATTTACTGCACCAGTACTAGGATTTTGAACTCAGGGCCTCCACTCGCATGGCTTGTTCCGTGGGTATGAGCCAAAACCCCAGCGCATCTTCTTTTTGGAGACAGTTTCACAGGGTTTTTTTTTCTGTGGGCTAGCTTCAAATAACAATCCTCTCAGTCTTAGTGTCCAGAGTAGTTGGGATTACAGGAATGAGATACTACACCTGGCTATAAAAATTCTTTTTTTTTTTTTTTTGGGTCCGGTCATGGGGCCTGAACTCTGGGCATGGGCGCTGTCCCTCAGCTCTTCAGCTCAAGGCTAGTGTTCTACCACTTGAGCCACAGCGCCACTTCCGGCTTTTATCTTTTTGCTTATGTGGTGCTGAGGAATCGAACCCAGGGCCTCAGGCATGCAAGGCAAGCGCTCTACCACTGAGCCACCTTCCCAGCCCTTTTTTGTCAGTGTGGGGCTTAAACTCTGGGTTTGGGTGCTGTCCCTCAGCTCTTCAGCTCAAGGTGAATGCTCTACTGCTTGAGCCACAGCACCACTTCTGGGTTTCCTAGTGCTTTATTGGAGATAAGAGTCTCATGGACTTTCCTGCCTGGGCTGGCTTTGAACCGTGATCCTCAGATCTCAGCCTCCTAAGTGACAATGAAATTTTGAGGTGATAAGACTAGGCAAATAGAATAACCTATCAGCCAAGAACAGTTATAAAATTGGACACAAAAATGTGTGAAGGGGTAAAAAGCTAATTAAAGACCGCAAATACCTCAGAGAATACAGAAATGTCATTGTTAGGTACTTCCTAAGTAACCTGCTGATTTCAAAAGGTGGAAATGAGCCAGAACCTACAATACTAGTTACTCAGGAGTCTGAGATACAGAGAACCACAGTTTGAGGATAGTCTGGGTAGAAAAGTCTTGAGAGATTCCTTCTCTAAAATAACCAGTTAAAAGCTCGGCTGGTAGAGCAAGCAAGCCTAGCAAGTTTGAGGCCTCAAGTTCAAGTTAAAAAAGAAAAAATGAACTGAAACACTTTGCTTGTTGAGGTAAAGAGAGAGTAATGTTAATCCAAATAAATCTTCCGATGCTTTAGGCTGGAAATCTCAGGACTATACACTAGAGTTAAGAATGAATCAAATGTAAAATGGGATTTAAGACTATTGTTAAAAATTATCTCAAATCTGAAAACGAATTAAATGATTTGAAATTATGAGCACCTTCAGCTGAACAAAGTTTAATTCTCTTCGGAGAAATAAAGTGTCATTCAACCTCAGTTTTTTTAAAAATTACTTTTTATATACAACATCTATTCCTTTGTCAAAAAATACAAAGCACTGGCCAGGCGCTGGTGGCTCAACATCTGTAATCCTAGCTACTCAGAAGGCTGAGATCTGAGGATCGCGGTTCAAAGCCAGCCCCGGCAGGAAAGTCCATGAGACTCTTATCTCCAATAAACCACTAGAAAACTGGAAGTGGTGCTGTGGCTCAAGCAGCAGAGCACTCGCCTTGAGTTGAAGAGCTGAGGGACAGTGCCTAAGCCCAGAGTTCAAGCCCCACGACCAACAAAAAAAGAAAAAAAAATACAAAGCACTAGAGAAGAGTGCATAACTAAAGTCTGAAATAATGAGATTCACAGGGGATCCAGATTATGAAGAAAATCAGAGACAAGGCTATAAAAATAAAATCACTGAAAACTTGGATAAGTTATATGGAACTAAAAAAATAAACAAGAGGGCTGGGATGTAGCTCAGTGGCAAAGCGCTTGCCTAACAAGTGCAACGTCCTGGGTTCGATCCCCAGTACCAAAAAAGGAAAGACAAAAAAAATAAATAAATAAACAAGACACTGAAAAAAAAGAACTTATGATGAGCTTAACAGTACACTAGTCACTGAATTAATTAAACCAAAGTAATTGATTAGGATCAATCAATTGGAATGTGGGAAAGAAGAAAATATCTGGGATGAAGCATAAAAAAATGAAAAGTGTTTAAGACAATATAGGAACAGGGATCAGGACTAACAGGTAAAATTAGAAGGGCAAAAAAACTTTGCAGACCTGATTACTGAAAATTTTCCTAAGGAAAAATACCAAGCCATCTGTTTTAATGGGTCCTAGAAAACCCACTCATCAACTTCAGTGGACACCAAATGTTTTCCTGAAGTTGATTATACAAATATCAGGATCCACAAATTCACCCCGAATGTAATGTATGGCCAGTAAAAACGTGTATGCATGAAGAGTTACATACAAGAATAGGCACCTTATTCACCTAACAGGTTAACAAAGCAAACTACAAAATGAACATCAAACAAATAAATGAACCTACTGTATTGTTTTTATACAATGTTATATGCATAGTTTAGGAAAACATGGAAGAATCTTATTAATTCAATGTTGACCAGAATAAGCCAGAGGCCAAAACAAACTATAATGTAAGATAACAAATGTGTTATATTCTATTTATAGAAGTTCAGGAACAGTTAAAACTAAAACATAAAATTAGAAGTCAGGATAGTAGTTACCCTGGGGGAGGAAGAAGAGGGTAGTAACTGGGTAGGAGTCAGGGAATGTTCACCATGAAGGTGTTTGTTCTGTCAAAGTTCATTATAGCTGTTCATTTGTTTTAGGCACTTTTCTGTGTTAGTTCACTTGGGGAAAAAAAAACAAAAACAACAAAAGAAGCCTGAGGAGAAGTTGGATGTCAGTGGCTCACACCTATAATCTGATCTACTCAGTGGGCTGAGATGTGATGATTGCAGTTCTAAGTCAGCCTGGGCAGAAAAGTCCAAGACACTGTTTCCAATTAACCAACAAAATTTTGTACCGGAGGTGTGTCTCAAGTGGTAGAGCGTCAGCTAGGACTGAAAAAGCAGAACAAGTGCGAGGCCAAGTTCAAGCTCTAGTACTAGTGCCAAAAAAATAAAAAATGACGCTGGGCATGGTGAAACACACCTGTAACCAGCATTCGGGAGAAGGCACGAAGATCATGAGTTTGAGGCCAGCCCAGGCTATACAGCAACACCTGTCTCAAATAACAAAAGATCTCTGTATGTAAAGTTTTTATTTTGGATGTATACAATAAGCATTTCAACTTGTTCTTTTTAACCATGTGGCTTTCCAATACCAAAATTTGCTGCATTTAATCATGACATAATCACTACACTGGAATAAACTAATTCAGTTACATGCTAATCGTTACAATGCTGTAATTACAGTGCTGTATAATTAGCTGAAGCTAAACATGAATTTACAGGTAACTTTTAAATACCTTCATGTAGAAATGTCATGTCTTTCTTGACAACAGGGAAGAGTGGGATGATTGGAGGCTGCATGCTTTGACTACTGAGAATATTTCTGTATTTTGCCATGTTTCTTGATGGATCAAAAAGGTCTTGTAGATCCTGGAGATGTTTCTCATATTTGCTTGGTAACTTTTCCCAAGTACCTCTAAGTCGTGCTACAGGTGCCAGATTTAAGCCACTGTCAAAGACAAGAATAAAAATAGTAAAAAGGGACTTGGGGGAGAGGGTAGATTCAAGTCAGTAAAGTGCATGCATCAAATTTTCTATTGCTAAAAGAGAGATATTTTTACACGTTGAAATAAACAGAAGTATGACAAAATAAAGAAGGGACTACCTTAATGTTAAAAAAGAAATTCTTTCAAATGATTCTTACTTGCCTGTTGTATATTAATGGCTTTTTCCCCACCATTTGGTGGCAGTACTGGGCTTGAATTTAGGGGCCTCTTGATCAGCCTTCTCTCTCATGGCTGTTGCTCTAGCACTTGAGCCATGTACTAGAGTTTCCATGTAAGTGATAAATGTAGTAATATCATAAACAGACATTTAACTTTAGAAACAGCGTACCACAATACTGTTTTACTTAGAAATAACACCACAGTATTTGAGAAAGATTTAAGCCATGTGGAGAACGACAAAAACACTGAGGTAGCATTTTTTTTCTAAGATTTTTTTTTTAGTCCATTTGTATTCCTGATTCCAAGGCTTCCATATCCCTACGTCTTAATCCTGCCTTGTAAACTTCTAGACAGTCAATGTCTTCTTTCTACAGACTCAGATGCTCCTTAAACTGAGAAGTGATTCATGCCATTTAGGCTGCAGCTCTTGCCTTCTCTATATCTCTACACTACCATCCATGGGTAAGTCGCTGAACAAGGGTATCTGTGGGTATACACAATATGCCTTAATTTTCTTAACAGTTAATCCTTTTTTCAGTCATCTGACTTTTTACCACATTTAAAATTTTCTCTTGACTTGTTTTTTAAGGTATGGAGTTTATACATTTGTTCCCTTTGCTTCTCAGAATCCTTACCTATCCCTCCCCCCAAAAAAACTGTTAAGCAAAATAAATGCAAATTATCTTTACCCAAACTAAGAGATATCTAAATATTGAGTACATTACAATGACTGACAAAAGATAAGGTAAACAAAAGTGCAAAGCTGCTGAAACAACATTTCTTATTTGGACTAACAACACTTCATAGGCTTATGGAGTAAGGCAGGGTGGATCTTCTCCTTTAACAAGGGGTGTCAGAAAATAAGATTAAATCAGTACACACAGGGATACATTTTGGCACGAATATCTTTTCACAATGAAAGGAAAAACAGTTGTAAATAACCCCAAAGTTGTGGACCTTTATTCCCTGTGAAAACAAAGCACAGAACAATGTACTCATGAGGCCAACTCCTGGAAGCTGAGAATTCTACCTTCGCTCTTACACAAACCTCTTTAAATAACTAGTACAGAAATATATAATTCAAATTCATATAATTCATAAGGAAGGAACGCAAGCATTTAGAACAAATAGAAACAAGAAAAAACAAATAGTTAAAGAACATAAAGGAAAAAAAAAAAGTCAACAAAGCTGGGTACCAGGTGGCTCATGCCTCTAATCCTAGCTACCCAGGAGGCTGAGATCTGAGGATTATGGTTCAAAGCCAGCCTGGACAGGAAGTCCGTGAGTCTTATCTCCAGAAAACCGGAAGGTGCTGTGGCTCACCTTGAGCTGAAGAGCTCAGGGACAGCACCCAGGCCAAGAGTTCGAGCCACCTGACCAAAAAGAAAAAGGTCAACAACTGAATAAAAGTTAGGACCTGCCATGATTTCTAAATAAAGTGCTTTATTAAGAGCTTACACACATACACACTTAGAAGAACCAAACCTCAACCTAATAAAGGCTATATATTACAAACCTATAAACATTATAATGAGTGGGGAAACTGCCAAAGCATTTCTTCTAATATCAGGAATAGGACTATTCACTCAAGTCTTCCATCTGATTTGGTATATTGCTTATATTCTTAGAACAACTCAGAAGCCTGTAATTTTAGCTACTTGGGAGCAGAAATTGGAGGACTGTTGTTTAAGACCAGCCTGGGCAAAAAGAAGTTCATGAACCATACTCTATCTCTACCAGTGGCTGGGTGCACTCATCATTACCCTAGCTCTGGGGAGGAACAATGGCTAAGTATAGTATGTGCTGTGTCCTCAGTGACACAGGAAAGCACAAGTAGGAGAAGCAAAGCCAAGGCTGCACTGGCGTAAATCAAGACCCTTCCTGGAAAAACAACTACTAGTAAAAGGGGCTGTGGGCCTGGCTCAAGTGCTAGAGTGCCTGTCAACCAAGCACAAGGTCATTAGTCCATGTGTTCAATCCTCAGTATCTCTTCCTCAAAAGCAGAACAGAAAACAAATGAAATCTTCATTAAAGACTTATTAACTGAACTTCTCTTTTCATAGGCAATTAATACCTAAGTAGAAAACAGCTTTATATCAAGATCCTCACAAAACCATACAGATAGGTGCACCTACTTGTACAAACTTACCTTATTATAGCAAACATGGAATTGAAGTTCTTACATTCTCGACAATGAAGTGCAATTTTAATAAAATGTTTAATGATTTTCATTCGTTTGAGCTGATTTGATTCCGTTAAAATCTCTGAGGCAACCCAGAATGTCTCTTGGTTCACAATGTCCTCAAACTCTTTCAAGTGAGCATTTCCCCTCTTGGAATCTAACTTGAAAAGATCATCAATGTATTCAGTAGGCTCAATATTACGAAATAAGTCAAAGTCCCTCATGGACAGCTGGGTGGCCACTTCAATGGTACTAAGCTGCAGCATGGACAGCTGGCTTTCCTTTACAAGCTCTTGTGCATCTTCATCTGAACATAATGTCTCTGTTTCCATGTTATTTTTTAAGTAATACCTAAGAAGGAAAAAAAATAAACATGATCATAAATGTGACTGCATTTGTAAGAACACTTTCCCTCTTTATTATGCTCTCAGAATTATTTTATTGTTAACATTTTGCCAAAAATATTAGATCACAGAATATCAGCTAACAGAAAAAATGAAAACCACATTTTAAGAGAAGACTTTTGAGAAGTCTCCTTATTCTGCCATTTAAAATCTATTTTATAAAAAGTGTAAACAGCATTGGTAGTGTCATGAGATTAAGTCACTGTATCAACTATTCATCATGTGTCAACAGTATTCTTGTGTCTAGTCTTGAAAATTAAAAAGTATATGTGAACGAGGACAAGTTATGGAATCTCTCACAGGCTCATGTGTTAAATGTTTGATCCTCAGCTGGAGGTAGTATTTTGGAAGGTGGCAGAAACTTGAGAAGGGGGGCCTGTCTGGCAGAAGCAGATCAGTCGGGGCAGTCCTTTCAGGTTACACTGGGCCCTGGTTTTATTCTCTCTCTCCTTCCCGGATGTCATAATGTGAGCTGCTCTGCTGCACAACTTCCCACTCTCAGGACTGAACCTTGTGAGACTACGTTCTTATGTCACGTATTGGGTCACAGCAACAAGAAACTAGTACAAGCCAGGCACTGGTGGCTCACACCTGTCAATCTAGCTATCAAGACCTGAAGATCATGGTTCAAAATCAGCCTAGGTAGAAAAGTCTGCGAGACTTTTTTTTTTTTTTAATTAATAAGTTTTTGTTTATTGTGAAAATACTGTACAGAGGGGTTACAATGACATGAGCAAGGTAAAGAGTACATTTCTTATCAAGCATTGTTGCTGCCTCCTTTGTTTCAACTTACCATCCCTGCCCTCCCATCACAACTCCCTCTGTGAGACTCTTATCTTCAATTGACCACCAAAAATCTGGAAGTGAGCCAGGTGCCAGTGGTTCACACCTGTGATCCTAGTTACTCAAGAGCTGAGATCTGAGGATTGTGGAATCAAGGCAGCCCAGGCAATAAAGTCTGAGACTCTTATATCTAATTAACCACCAAAAAAGCCAGAAGTGAAGCTGTCACTCAAGAGGTAGAACACCAGCCTTGAGCAAAAAAGCTAAGGGATATTAACATGGTCCTGAGTTTAAGCCCCAAGGCACCCCCTACCCCACTTCCCCCACACCTCTCCCTCCCCCCAGCTAGGAAACAGGTATAGCTCAATGTGGTAGAGCTCTAGCCTTGAGAAGAAAAAAAGCCAAGGAAGAGCTTGAGGCCCTGAGTGTAAAGACCAGTACCTGTATAAACAAACAAACAAAAAACTAATACAGAAAATTGGTACCACAGAAGTGAGTTCTTGCTATGTCTAAACCTAAGCCTTTGGAATTAGTTTGCAAGAGGAATTTGGAATAAATTAGAGAAATGGGATAGAGAGATTCAGCTTAAGGGAAGATTGTGTTGGGAGCCTCAAAAGACCAGAACGCTGGTAAAATATGGACAGTAAGGTCTGCAGGTGTGACTCAAATGGTAGACCTCTATCTAGCAAGTTCAAGGCTCTGAATTCAAACCCCACATGCCCACCCCCATGCCCACCAAAAAAAAAGTCACAAAAAGACAGAAATGTAGACAGTAAAAACTTGGGTTTTAGATGGGAAACAGACACAATGAGGAACTGGATTAGAGGCCATTGGATTATATCCTGGGTACAAACTTTTCAGTATCTTGTCCATGTGTTGAAGCTTTGTGTGAGACTGAATAAAATGGCGACTAATTAATCTGGTCAGCATCCAGCATCCAGGCTCTGTAAGGTTTATTACTGGTTGCCTTTAGGCAGGCTTATAGTGAGTACCAGGAACAAAAGCAAAGAGACTTGAAAAGCTCATAGCTTGGTGTGAAAAGTCCATGAAAAACTGAATGTAAGGCATGATTTCTGAGATTAGTATCATTAAAAACCCAAATAGACTTTGCATCTGGATGACAGAAAAAAACTTCAAAAAGCACACTGACAGAAAAGCACACTTATGGCTTAGTGGTAGAGTGCTTGCCTAGCATGCATGAAGCCCTGGCTTCGATTCCTCAGTACTACATAAGCAGAAATAGCTGGAAGTGGCACTGTGGCTCAAGTGGTAGAGTGCTAGCCTTGAGCACAGAGAGGCTTAGGGACAGTGCCCAGCCCTGAGTTCAAGCCCCAGGATTGGAAAAGAAAAGCACACTGACTAATAATCTTACTCACCTTCCATTGAGTTGAATTCTATCAGCTAGTTTGGAGAACTGGTCTGGAAGTCTTCTCTGCTTTATGACACCCTCAGGAGTAACAGAAACTTCACAGAGAGAATACGTATCGGTTGCCCCAGTCAAACCAAATTCATGAACAGCGTGACAAACCACTTCTTTAGCTGTAGTGTCTTTACTGATGATAATGTAGCAGCTCTGTTGATCTGCTTTGAAAACTCTTATGACTTGATCAGGAATATCTATATAAATATAAAGATGTGCTTTATTATTCCCAAGAAAAGTATCTTTAAAATTCTTCAAAAAGCAATTTTGAATACAACCATCCCTTTAGACATCAAAATACACATTTCTGTTTTCCGCAGTTTATCAACTTGAGTGTTGATAAGAACCTATCAATTTTCCTAAAGTGAACATATACTAATATTCACAAAGATAAAGACTAATCATATTCTCATATGATTCACAGGCTACATTTAAAATATATTACCAGTATTTTAATGTCATTATTCCTTTGTAAAGTTTTTAATGGAGGCATAGTACACTATATTATGCATTTTAAATATTTCAATTATCCAGACCTTGTCTATAGCTATTTCCTTAGGGGGAACTCTTAAAAAGACAATTGATGATTAAGAAGAGATGTGCATTTTCAATATATTGCCAAATCACTTCTCAGATAAACCTAGAATGTAAGAGGACAAATTTGGTTATACCTTTATTAAAATGATCACATTCTGTTTCCCCCTGTGAAAGCCTATTCTCCAAAAATACATCTTTTTTTCCCTCCATTTCTTTGATTACTGGTTAGATCAGTAACTGGCATTCTCTATTTTCCCCCTCAGGGGGTGTTCCTATGGTAAGACTTCAGGACATTGTACTTCACTAGGCCAGCACTCTACCACTGAGCCACAACCTCAGCCGTTTTACTACTTTTGGTTATTTTTTAGGTAGGATCTTAATTTCTGCTGAGGGTTAATCTTGATGACAATCCTCTTGTCTGCTCCACCCTCCCATCCTGAGATCACAGGCATGCACCATCAAAACACCCCAGCTTTTTTTTGGGGGGCGGGCGGGTCTAACTTTGCCCTAACTGATCCTGAACTGCAATAGGCCAGATCTCTACCTCCCCAGAAGCTAGGATTGTAGGTGTGAGCCACACATACACATACACACAGAACACTGGTATTTTTTCTGGGTGCTGGTGGCTCATTGCCTGTAATTCTAGCTACTTAGGAGGCTGAGACCTGAGAACTGTGTTTGAAGCTGGCTTGAGCAGACAAATCAGTCTTTTCTTTAACAAGCAAAATACCTGCAAGTGGAGATGTGACTCAAGTGGTAGAGCCCCATTCTTGACTGAAAACGCTAAGAAAGAGTTCAAGGTCTTGATCTTAAGTTCTTGTACAAGTGTGTGCACACAAATGCACACATATAGCCGGGCACTGGTGCCTCATGCCTGTAATCCTAGCTGCTCAAGTGGCTGACATCTGAAGATTGCAGTTCAAAGCCAGCACAGACACAGAAGTCTGTGAGACTCTAATCTCCAATAAACCACTCAGAAAACTGAAAGTGGCACAGAAGTGTTGAGGGACAGCACCCAGGCCCAGAGTTCAAGCCCCATGACTGACCAAAAAAAAAAAAAAGCACACATATACACACATACGTTCTGTGTACATAAGTAGGGAGACGGGTGTGGAAAAAGATCATCAGTGGGTGAATACCAGTAAGAGTGAGTTGGGCTGGTGGAGAGGGTGAAGGTTGAATAGATGGTTTGCAACTATGAAAATGGAATTATAAAACCCACTGGGATTTCTTTTGGTGAGCAGGGGTCAGGAGAGTGAGAGGAGTAAAACTGATTGGAATTCAGTGTGAACACATGTGGAGAGATCGCAGTAAACACCCTTCAATAACAATATAAGCTACTATCAGTACCCTATATACTTTTTCCTACTAAATTATACTCCCTACCAACATTTATTCTACTGTAAGATGACAAGTATTTTTCTACTTTTTATATTCTATTTAACAGTAAAGTTTAAAATGTTCACATGATAAACTATCTTAATCTTTGTCCCTACAGATAAATTCATGCAGCTTGAACTCTGGTCCTGGGTGCTGTCCCTTAGCATTTCAGCACGTTACCACTTGAGCCACAGCACCACTTCCAGTTTTCTGGTGGTTTATTGGAAATAAGAGTCTCATGGACTTCCCTGCCTGGGCTGGCTTTGAACATTGATCCTCAGATCTGAGCCTCCTGAGTAGCTAGGATTACAGGCGTGAGCCACCAGTGCCCCCTCCTACAGATAAATTCTAAGTAAAGATATTCCCCGCCCCCCGGCCCCCCTGTGGTTTTTTTCTCATCATATAGCAAGAGCTAAAGCTTCTAGAACAATGTTTACTTTGATGACAGAGATTTTTAAAAGTAAAAAGAGATTAAATAGCATTAATGCCAATTTTTCCTACAGAAATAAACCACAATTACAAAAATTTCTTTTTTAAAAAAATTAGGGGTATTTTATTATTGTGGTTGTGTACAGTGCTGACCATATGTGGCTGGGTTGGGAAAAAAACTGGTTCAAATGACTTTATTTTGCTTGTCCATCATTACCTTCTTAGCGTTATATACTTTCAGAGAAAAACATGAACAAATTTATCTCCAAGGGAAAGATGAGAATAATGGAACAGATATGGAAGGAAATAATCTAGAAGAAGATAGAATCCCTGTTCCTTGAGAATGAGAATAGAGACAGACTAGCCTCCAGGATGAGAAGCTTCAACTGAACATATATTCAAACTAAATTCTGGGGAGGATTTTAGCCACTAGATGCTGGATGCCCTGGGTCTGCTGTCAAGTGGGAAGCAGAATGCGTCATCTCATCCGATTTCTATCAACGGAGGATGTACTGAGCCATCTTTCCTCAATGAATTCAAGGATCTGAGTCATCAAATAACCTTTTGTTCAGATCTCTCATCGATGAGTCAGGCCTTAGTGTGCTGTGGATTTCTTAGTGTGCTGGGTTTCTCAACCTACAAGGCTTAAGTCAGACTGTTACATGATCCACCAAAATCAGAAACGCTTCTCTGCCCCATACTAGAAAATTACTGCATGCAGACAGCTAGGGGAAAGGATTTCTCTATACCTTCTAAACTCTTAAAAAAAAAAAAAGAACCAAACATGTTATTACTTGTACTTTTTCTACCCTCTTTGTGAAAATGGGTACTGGACTCCAGAACCACTTTTTTCCTTTTTCCCAAACTGGATCTTTGAGGGCTAAACCTCAGGAAGGGGCATAGGCTGGCCTTGAGGGAAGCGTGAGATGACCTCACACCTGTTATGTTACTTTCTTTGGAGGATTTTATTCACAAAGACAAGGTGAAAGTTGACACATACATTATGTTCTTTTCCCCTGCTGCTGTAAAATCTAGGAAGGAACACAGTTGTGCATCTTGCTGATCAAGCTTAAAGTTGTACTCAGTTAAAGCCATCTGTTCCTCATGTGAAAGATAAACTGATTTGTAGTCACCCTAAGGGAGTCATGCATCATAAATAGGTGTCTCTAGAACAGATTTGCCAATGAAATTATCCAAAGAGTATGCCACAACCCAACTGTGGTGAGTCTGTTGCAGTAATAATGCCAACTTAGAAAAGAAAGACTGCAGATGAAAAAACTTCTCTTCACAGACATCGCTGTCGCTGACAGTGTAAAGCTATTTTAGCATTGTTTTTTTTTTTTTTTTTTGGGTCTGGTCATGGGGCCTGAACTCTGGGCTGGGCACTGTCCCTCAGCTCTTCAGCTCAAGGCTAGCGCTCTATCACTTGAGCCACAGCGCCACTTCTGGCTTTTTTCTTTTTGCTTATGTGGTGCTGAGAAATCGAACCCAGGGCCTCAGGCATGCAAGGCAAGCGCTCTACCACTGAGCCACCTTCCCAGCCCTATTTTAGCATTGGTATATGCATCCTACATATGTGTTCTTTACAAATATACTTGTCAGTAAGGAAGGAACAAGCACAGCAAAGCATAGCATTTGGATCATGGCAGATGTAGACGTGTCGGATGAACAGTAAACATGAAACTAGAAAGAAGTCAATCAAAAAGGAAAAAAAATCTAATCCTAACTTTTAGGACTAAGCTAAAATGCAGAGAAAAATGGTTGTATTTAGTGGTATTTAATATTTTAAAAAGTTCTTGTACAGTATTAATTGATCCCATGACTCTTAAGAAATTTAATATATACATAAAATAGGTAATGAAAGTCTGGACTTCTGGATATCCACATTTTTCTAGAGTGCCAACTATAATCCTGCATGAGTAAAATAAACAGTCAATACTTTAAGGAATTATGTATTGATCTGATTACATTAAAAGAACTTTTTAGGTATATAAGAGGATCTTTAATAAAGAACTTCTTTGTCATCCTGCTTTAAATGGTTAATTGCTGAACAAATATTCATGGTGTGCTTGTTAGAAGCCAGATGTTCAGGTGATGAAGGTATAGTGGCCAATGAAATGAAGTCCCTGATTTACTGACATTTCAGAAAGTAAAAGATGGTTCAAAGTGAAACAAAAATTCTGTTAATAAGCCAATCTATGTAGTGAGAAAAGCCACGGAGCAAATAAAGGGTAGTGGTAGGACAATACAGATCAAGAATTGGTACACTATTCTGTAAAAAGCCAGATAGAGTTATACCTATCCTTTCTCTGTAGTTGGATTAAAAACAAAAACTCTTGACTCTTGAAAAATAGCAAAGTAACTTTTTGAATTTCAATAAAGAATTAGGTTTGCTACTTTAAAGAAACCAAGCAAAGCTTTATTCTGTTAAGCAAAAAAGCAATAAATTATACATACAAACTCAGGAAAAATACTCAAATTTATTGTAGCCACTCTCAGTTCTTTTAAGCATCTTGTATTAGGTCAAAATTTCCAAAGAGCATGAGGTGGTGGTAGTCATGCCTGTAATCCTAGCTCATCAGGAGGCTGAGACCTGAGGATCATGGTTTGAAGGCAGCCTGGGCAGGAAGTCTGTGAAACTCTTATCTCCAGTTAATCACAGAAAAAGCTGAAAAGTGGCAGAGTGCTAGCCTTGAGTAAAAGGAGCACAAGGACAGTGCCCAGACCCAAAGTTCAAGCCCCAGGTCTGGGGCAAAACAAACCAAAAAATCAAACAAAAAAAGCATCTTTCTCATGCTATAGCATAGTATGTATACTCTGATTTCATATAAACACATAAATATAGTCAGAGAAAATGACTAAAAGGATACATTCCAGTTACTATCTTATAAATGGAAAGAAAAGTTCGGTTTCCTACTTCATTCATTTCTATACCATGTGATTTCTTTTTTTTTGGTCGGCCGTGGGACTTGAACTCTGGGCCTGGGCGCTGTCCCTCAGCTCTTCAGCTCAAGGCGAGCGCTCTACCACTTGAGCTACAGCGCCACTTCCGGTTTTTCTGGTGGTTACTGGAGATAGGAGTCTCACCGTCTCTCCTGCCCGGGCTGGCTTTGAACTGCGATCCTCAGATCTCAGCCTCCAGAGTAGCTAGGATTACAGGTGTGAGCCACCAGCGCCCGGCCCATGTGATTTCTTAAAATAACAAAATGCTAAAAACAAATATGAGCAAGAGAAAACTAAAATACTTACAGTAAAAACCAACAGCTGTAGGCAGCAAATATAAAGCAAAATCATAAAAAAGTCAGCAATCAAAAGCAAACTAATCAACAGTTCTGTAGTTTCACTCACATTTTCATTTTGATTTAAAAAGACCTTTACAAATGCAGAGTAAACATAACTGAACTCGACTTAAAATTAATCAAACTTGGCTGATGTCACACATGTACTACAATATAAATGTATGATGTATATAGGTAATTATATATAATGTCTATATAACATGTATATATTTAAGAAACTGAATTTGAGCTTAATTGAAAATAGTTTATCAACATAAGGACACTATCACTAGGTAGAAAGCCTTACACAAAGTTACATATATACAAAATTTTAATTTATAAGCTAAATTTCGATGATACATCTGTCCATTTATCTACTGATATGGGCATATGGCGCAGACTAAGCCATATCAGATTTTCTCAGAACAGATTTTAAAAAGGAATTTTAGACCCTTTCCAGGTGTTTTCAAGCAGATAATGATGAATCAATCTGGGTAGTAACTCTTCTTCAGGTCTGAATTTCAGTTCCATGGGGCCAAACCCTTTCTAAATTATAGTAACTTCAACCTCGTTTCTTTGTTCTCCTAGCTAAATCTTTTTTTTTTTTTTTTTTTTGGGTCCGGTCATGGGGCCTGAACTCTGAACCTGGGCGCTGTCCCTCAGCTCTTCAGCTCAAGGCTAGCGCTCTACCACTTGAGCCACAGTGCCACTTCCGGCTTTTTTTTCTTTTATCTTATGTGGTGCTGAGGAATCGAACCCAGGGCCTCAGGTATGCAAGGCAAGCGCTCTACCACTGAGCCATCTTCCCAGCCCCTCCTAGCTAAATCTTCAACATGCTTCTCTCTCTCTACTCCACACACCATTTCTCACAGCCCAACTGTTTATATATTCCTGTGGTAATAATACAGCCATAAAAACATTAATTTATTAGGTGTCAATGGCTGACTACTATGATTCTAGCTACTAAGGAAGTGGAGCTTTGTAGATCAAAGTTCAAAGTCAATCCAGGAAAAAAAAGTCTGGGAGATTCCATCTCCAAAGTAACAAGCAAAAAGCTGCGCTAGAGGTATGGCACTAGTGGTGGTATACCAGTCATGAGCAAGAAAGACAACTGAGAACATGAGATCCAAGAACAGGTACTGGCACATGCAAAATCTTATGTGCTTTCTAAGCACTCATCTTAATGAAAGTACGCATGAGTAGTGTGAAAACTATTTGTGAACGATGCAGTGTAAGAAGTACCACTGTAATAAGAGATAACATAGATGGATTTTTATAACATAAGAGATCAATTTCTATTCTACCACATGACAAACAATATAAGAGACCATACAAATGAGCTGGAAATTTCTGAAAAAAGAAATAATGAGTGCAGTAAAGGGATATGGACTTCCCAGATAAGGAGATAACATTAGAGTTCAGCATTGCTAAGCGGCTAGAAGCATTTCTTTATGCTGTAGGGCCATTTCCTTTTTGTGTCGGTACTGAGACATGAACTCTTATTGACTCTCTTATTAATAGTGCTCTACCACTTGAGCCTGACTTTTTGCTGGTAAATTGGAAAAAAAAGTGTCAAGAACTATCTGCCTAGGCTGGCTTGGAACTGTGATCCTCCAGGTCTCAGCCTCTTGAGTAGTTAGAACCACACAAGCATGAGCTACCACCATGGGCTTGTGGCATTTCTATTATGTGTCATTATCTGAATCAAATTTGTAGTCTTCCTACTTCTGTGATACTTTAATGCTCACTATTTTTACCTTTCTGATAACTTTATATACTGGTAACAATCTTTATATTAACTTCTGTTTAAATAACTAGTTATTTTTGTATCATGAATATAAAAACTGCTAGAAATTTCTAAGCCAGTATAATCTTTGTTCCAGAAAGAATATGGGTACCATACAGAAAGTGAGATATACAAAAGCAGTTCTTTGAGTTTAGTAATCTGTCAGTGGTTAAGAGATAACTGAATAAAAGAAAAAGTGTATACAATAACTTCATTAAAATGTCTTGATGCTGTGTTCTAGAGTTTGTTGCTATAAGGAAACATAAGCTGTATCACTACTTATATTTTCAAGCATTTCCTCCTTCCTCTTCTTTGTACTCAACTCAGTGTCGTCTATAGAAAGGCATTTTTTTCAAGTGGAAGTTACGTAACTTTTTTTTTTTTGGGGGGGGGGGGGGGTCCGGTTGTGGGGCCTGAACTCTGGGCCTGGGTGCTGCCCCTCAGCTCTTCAACTCAAGGCTAGCACTCTACAACTTGAGCCACAGCACCAATTCTGGCTTTTTTCTTTTTTCTTATGTGGTGCTGAGGAATTGAACCCAGGGCCTCATGCATGCAAGGCAAGTGCTCTACCACTGAGCCACCTTCCCAGCCCCTGTAACTAATTCTTCAAGGTCTTAGTTTCATTGTACTGGGTGATGGTGGCTCACACCTATAATCCTAGCTACTCACAAGCCTGAGATCTACAGTCATGGTCTGAAGCCAGTCCAGGCAGAAAAAGTCCATGAGATTCTAATCTTTAATTCACCACCAAACTGGGAGAAGTGGAGCTTTGCTCAAGTGGTGGAGTGCTAATCTTGAGCAAAAAAAGCTAAAGGACAGTGCCCAAGCCCTGAGTTCAAGCCCCTAGACTAGCACCAAAAAAACCCTAAAACCAAACAAAAGCACCACTTTAAATTATGCAGCTAAGCCACACACTGGGCAGGAATAGATGTAAACAAATTAACTTGGGGGCCCAAACCAACTGTTTGAACAGCACTGAAAAGGATGGAGTATCTTGGTAACACATGATAAAAACAATGCTAGGTTAAAAAAAAAAAAAAAAAAAAAATCAAGGCTCTTAGGAAATTACTAATGCATTTTTGTATGTCATAGAGTAAGATATGTGAAGTCACGAAATAATAAGTGTCTTCTTTTCCACATATGGGTAGAAAACATTTTATAGGCTGAGAAACATCTCCTTTATTCCACGGATAGTGATTACCAAAAGATCTTTAAATTTGTGGTCAGAAATGGTCTTTTTCAATGAATATTTTTTAAAAATTTGGAGGAATTATCACTTAAATGTAGATAAAAATATAATCTCATTAATCTTTTACAAGTGGTCATAATTTAGAGAGAGGTCAGACAAGAGAGCTATACAAGTAACTAGTATTTGCTGTACCAAGCTTAGCTATCTACGTGTGCGTGTAGACAACAATTTGGCTATTTAACACTACTAACAAACATTACCTGAAGGATTAGAAAAATCCAACATGCTGGTAGTAGGCTGCAGGAGATCAGGGCTGCTGGACGAGAGTGTTCCAGGAATAGGCATTATAGCCAGGCTGTGTCTACAATGTCTGGTTCCCACAATGCTGTCATCTTGTGACTGGCTCAGGCCTCCATCACTTCAAAAGAATGGCATATGTCACTTTAAAGTATGAGAAGGTACTTAATAATAAACAATTCTATGTGCACTAGGGCTAACAAAATCAGCTTCAGGTGGTAACTTAAACAACTAGATTAAGGTATATTCCAATTAAAAAAGTAGGCCAGCCAGGTGCCAGTGGCTCACGCCTGTAATCCTAGCTACTCAGGAGACTGAGATCTGAGGATTGCAGTTCAAAGCTGGCCTCAGCAGGAAAATCTGTGAGACTTTTATCTCCAATAAACCACCAGGAAACCAGAAGTGGCACTGTGGCTCAATTGGTAGAGCACTAGCCTTGAGCTGAAGAGCTGAGTGACAATGACCAGACCCAGAGTTCAAGCCTCATTACTGACAATTTCAATTTCAATGATGAAAACAAAAATAAATTGTTTTGATAACTACATTCAAATATGATATATGTAATTATATTATATCATAAAGAAACCAATAGATGCTGAATGTTTAGGTGAGTCCAAACAGTTTGCTAGCTTCAGGTTTCAAATACATGCATCCAACACTCATGATCTCAGCACAGAAAGCCTTCTCCTTCTACCCTACAATGCATCAAAGTCAGAACAGAAGGCAAGCTAGCAAAAGTTAATTTTTTCCCTAAGGTTTTCAAAGACAAGTACTAATTAAATGGCTATATGTAAGCAAACAAAACTCTTCAAGGTATTTTATAAGTGTAACACAGATAACTGTAAATCCACCTGAAAGAAAAACTAAAAATAGAAATGTAGTGTTGTCATTTAAGTTCTATATGTCCTAAAACATCAATTTATAATAAATTTCAGTTCCATAAAACACAGGAAAATAATTAAGAGATTCTCATTAGCATAAATAACCAAAACACTTTCTCTCTTTAAGGGTTATGCTGTATATTTAACTTGAAACCAAAGTGCTCCTCAAGTTCCATTACAGTATTTCCATCTTACTTGATGCAGCATTCTTCCTGGTACTTGTGCTATATACACACAGAGTTATCACAGAATACATACCTATTATAGAAAGGAATAATTACTACAGGTTAAAAAGTGAATGACTATGGTGTATATATTTAGAGAAAGTTAGAAGCAAAATCCAGTCTTTTGGTAGATTAAGAAGCAATGCAAAATCAAGAGCAGAGGATGGTTAAGTCAGCTAAGTGAAAGATTAAAGAACTGTTAATAGCCAGACAAGAAAGACAGTGCCAGGACAAGAGACAGCCAGAGTCATGCGAAAGCAAGAAGGTATGGAAAAAAGCAAAGATTAGTATTTCAAGAGCAACCTTTGATGTCAGATAGACTTGGGATACTAGCTGTTAGGTGTCAGGAAATTTTTCTTGTAGGACCTGGGTTTCCTTCATTTATAAATATGAATAATACCAACTCTACGCCAAAATTATTGTAAGGATCAAATTAGGGTAAGGCAAGTGAATACTTTGGCAGAGAGGAAAATAGGATTCATATTTTTCAAAAATTAAAACTTTTTTTTAAACCAAAACTGAAATGAGAATAAGAACATAGAAAAGAAATATTTACTTCAACTTATACTAAAAAGTACATGGGGACAATATAGATACATCAATAAAGGTAACATTCAAACAGAAAATTTATTCTCATGGAGAAACAGCAGACTGACAGGGCACAGGAAGTATTTTACTGTGTAAGCAATTGTGCTTAATGGATACTGGAAGTAAGTAGCTCATTAAAATTAGGATTACATCCCTAGTTCTCAGCGTTAAGTGTTGAAGGTTAGCTAAGAGGGAAATAAAAGCAGGGCTTTAAGAGACACTTAAAATTATGTAGAACATAAAAAAGTATTTTAAAAAATAACTGTATTAGCTGGGTGTTAATAGCTCACACCTGTAATCCTAGCTACTCAGGAGGCTGAGATCTGAGGATCATGGTACAAAGCCATTCCCAGCTGGAAAGTCCATGAGACTCTTATCTCCAATAAACCACCAGAAAACCAGAAGTGGCACTGTGGCTCAAGTGGTAGAGAGCTATCCCTGAGCTGAAGAGCTGAGGGACAGTGCCCAGGCCTAGAGTTTAAGCCCCATGGCCAAAAACAAAAACAAAAGAACTATTTTTAGATACAGAGGGTGAGGTAAATGAAACCAAGAAAGCAAACTGTTAGCTTGTACTACAAATAAAATAGAAGAAATTTTCAAGTCAGAATTTTCTATTAAAGGGAATTAGTTGCAGCAAGTTGGAATTTACTACATAAGACTAGTAAATGGACTTTTACTAGTACTAGTAAAGTCTTTGCATTACTAATGATGCTCTGAATAATATTCTATTTAATTCATAGTTTTAATACTATGCAGCTACAATCATGTAATACTGGTTATAAATTAAGTTGAGAACATGTATAAATGAAAACTGTACTGTTATGGACAATCCGTGCTATGATAGGAATGAAACAGTATTTAATCAGCAAAATACTCATGCTTGAAGCTGATCTGGTAAGCAATTATGTCATTTCTTACCAAAACAGTCTCCTGAGAGGTGATGCAACAAAGAAATAAGACAGTTTAAAAAAATTCTTCAGTAATCTTCTCACACCAAATTTAATCAGAATGAAATAACACAATTCCAGTAAGAAAACAAAAAAAGGTCACAAAATAGCATTAAGATGTACATGAAAACCACCTAATATTAAGAGTAAACAAAAAAGTCTATCAGCAAGAAATTTGGAGGAAAAAGTAATTGGTAAGCAGGTAAAACAGTCCAATCCCAAGAATGTTACAATGATATCATTTAGACAACTAGTGATTTAAAAAAGCTGAATGCAAAAAAAAATCAAATTATATTTCCTAAACTGTGACTTATTCTCAGGTCAATTGACTGCTGCTTTCACTGTAATTCTCAGGAAAATTCTTTCATTTTCAAAATGTCATAGGTTGGAAATGAGCATGGTGGCTCAAGCCTATATTATCTACTTTGGAGGCAGACTGAAGAATCATGGTTCAATGCCAGACTCAAATATGTCCCGAGGTGGCATCCAGGTAAGAATTTCTAAAGTATAGTGCATTTAAAGTATAACCAATAGTTTCCTTGTTGACACAAATCAAGATTCAGTAAATGCTTCAAATTTAAAATTCATTTTCTCATTTATGAATTACTTGAGGATTTTACGATGCATCAGCTGTAGAAAAAAAACAAGGGACTCAATATCTCCTTTTCCCACAATAACATTTTACAGTTAGGATGAAGTTGCAACATGAGAGAATGAGGGAGGGGGTGACACTGTTAAAAAAGACATGTACCTCTGTATATCACCTGTACAATAAAATTTTTAAAGAAAGTTCCTATTATTATTTTTTAAAGTTCCTAGATGACTATAGTTGATATTACCTAAACAGTTTTGGAGGCAGGATGCTAAATCGTGTTTTATCCAAAATTTTCCTGATTTTGTTTCTTCCACCTGAAACAGTATTTGCTTTTATTTTCTTATTTCCTTTCTCTTGTGATGGCTGTTCGATATCTCCTGGTACATCTTGGATTGAATGGCGATTACTTTTCTTCTCAGCAATTTTGGGAATATGAGGAATACCAGACTTCTCTTGTTCAGTCCGACTAAGTAACTCTTTGAACACTGAAGAAATAAACAAGTTTGTCACTTATTTTCTTCTAGTAGAAAGTTTTTATGCAAGCAAATTTTGAGGATAAACATAATCACTTTATTGTTAGGCCTTTGGCAGCCCTATTCAATTACAAATTTATCACATTAATGCTTTTTTTTTTTGGTCGGTTGTGAGGCCTGAACTCTGGGCCTGGGCTGTCCCTCAGCAATTCAGCTCAAGGCTAGCGCTCTCCCACTTGAGCCATAGCTCCACTTCTGGCTTTTTCCGCTTATGTGGTGCTGAGGAACTAACCCAGGGCCTCAGGCATGCAAGGCAAGCACTCTACCACTGAGCCATCTTCCCAGCCCCTTTACTTTTTTTTGATAGGTGTTCTGTTGCAAGTTCCATGAAAAATGATCTGACTGTTCAACTGTACTTCATGGTATGCCATAAAGACTAGGGGTTATTGTAGGTATCACTATAGAATATGCCATTTCTACAATTATTGAGATACTCTATTGTTTTGCTTGGTTGACTGCATTCTACATGGGGCAAAATCCCTGCTTTTTCAGAACTGTAACTCCCACATTCTTCAGTCCATTCAATCTAGAATTGATATTCACATTACTCAAAAAGTAGGACCTTAAGATCTGGCATTTACTTTTTTTTCCTTTTAGGGTCTACAGCAAATTCTGCTTTTCTGTTTTTCAAAATTGGTACCACTTAATATTAATCTAAATGTTGGTGTTTCTAAATACTGATCCTAAAGTCCAGGAAAACCAAAAACTGTGAAGACCTACTTATTTATCTATGCTAGATTAATATGTTACTGTGAAATTATTAACAGATGATTAGATACCATGATGTACCTGATGTAATTCAATTCAGTCTAAAGGATTCAAAAAGAAGAAAAATACTGGGTTGGGGAGGTGGCTCAGTGGTAGAGTGCTTGCCTTGCATGCATGAGGCTCTGGGTTCGATTCCTCAGCACCACATAAGCAGAAAAAAAAAAGCCGTTAGTGGCGCTGTGGCTCAAGTGGTATAGCGCTAGCCTTGAGCTGAAGAGCTGAGGGACAGTGCCCAGGCCCAGAGTTCAGGCCCATGACTGGACCCCCCTCCCCCCACCAAAAAAAAAAAAAAAGAAGAAAAATACTAAATGCTTCACTTTTCATTATGAGTAAGCACAATATAAAGAGAAGTTAATGTGGGAAAAAAACTCACTTCCTTTCATGGGCATAACTTTCAAGTCAACTCTTCACTAGTTGCAACTTAAATAACCTACTCATGAGGACTCTTAAAATTTCTTGATAGCTTTTAATAATTGTACTATGTTTACTGTTACCTTTCCCAGATTTTCAGCCTTTAAAAGGATTATGGTACACATAAGAAATAAAAAAATTAGTAAACCTCGCTTAAAAATTAAAATAACAAATGGTAGGTCTAGTTAAAAATACAAGGTGAACACATGCTTTATTTAGGTGTAAACATGATAAAAATACAAGTTAAGGCCATAAATGTAGCTACTGGTGAAGCAATTACCTGGCATGTGCAACCTGGATCCCCAACATTGTCAAATATACAGACATACATAATTTTGTGCCACAATCAACATTTTTACACAGAAAGGAAGATTTGTTATTACTAGAAATCCAATGCTTTACTAAGTTTATTTTCATGAAACTAATGTGACATTCATATTATTTCAGAAAGCTACTGTAAAGATTTTAAGATTGAAATGCACATTATTAGGGTTTTGGTAAGAACCTGATTTTGAGTTCTAGGATTTTGTGTGTGTATTGTGCGCACACACACGTACATTCATGACACATTATGTCGGTACTAGGGCTTTAACACAGTGCCTTGGCATTGTCCCTGAGGTGTTTCTTTTTTTCCTCTAGGTTAGCACTCTACCACTTGAGCCACAGCTCCACTTCCAGCTTTTTGGCAGGTAACTGAAGATAAAAGAGTCATGGATATTTCTGCCAGGGCTGGCTTTGAACCTCAACTCTCAGATCTCAGCCTCCTAAGTAGTTAGGATTAAAGGCATAAGCCACTGGTACCTGGCTCAAGTTCTAAATTTTATTCAGTATACTAAACCCCCACCCCAGTAGAATACAGTACAGAATAAATGCAAGCATTTATGCTCTGACTGAGCTGTGCACCTATTTTCAAATTTACTTTTGATATAAAAATAATGCAAAAAATGAAAATTACAGATTAAAAAATACTATTAACACCTTAGACAAAGATGTTTAATTTTACTATCTTTGCTTTCATTAAAATGACTTTTCACTTTTATCAAAACCCTACTTCAGACAGTTTGTACACACTCACCAAAAATGTTAGTCTTCACTGTAAGTGCAAGATGAGTGTTATTCCTTAAAATTTCCAGGGCTTTCACAAATGTAATATTCTCAAAATTTTGTCCATTTACTTCCATTATCTGAAAAGAATTTTGGAAAATACAAATTAAAACAGAAAGTTATTACTCATGCCTATAAACTTAAAAGTTTAGTAGTAAAAAGTAAAATGGAACTTGAATAAAATGTCATATGTAAACAACGATTAGCATGCTAAGAAGTTGGCTATGGAGTACTCTAAATACATTTAAAGTCTTTTACAATCATTGATTGAATCAGATAGCCAAACAAGCAGTACTACTGTTTGAACAGGGCTAGTTCTACTTAGTAGAGATTCCTCAGTATCATACAGGCTTGATTTTTAAAAATATACTAATTCCAAAGGAAAAGGATAAAGAGATGAACATAATAAGTAAAAATTAAGCAGCAAAGATCAAGAGGTCTAACATGAAAATTCTAAAAGGATAAGAATGAAAAATAATATATTGAAAGCCAGGCACGGGTGGCTCACGCCTGTAATCCTAGCTACTGAGGAGGTTGAGATCTGAGGATCACAGTTCAAAGCCAGCCCAGGCAGGAAAAATCTGTGAGACTCTTATTTCCAATTAACCACTAGAAAACTGAAGTGGCGCTGTGGCTCAAGTGGTAGAGTACTCGCCTTGAGCTGAAGAGTGCAGGGATAGTGCCCAAGCCCAGAGTTCAAGCCTCACGACCGACAAGGAAAAGAAAAAGAATATATTGGATTTTTCTGATAAAAATAACAGGCAGATAAGAGTATAGAGGAAATGACAGTAACCAAGAAATCAGTAAAGCTGGTGAAAATGTCTAAATAATTTATTATGAGCTTGTGAAATCTGATGCACGTCAAATATTCTTCAGAGAAGATACATAAAAAAATGACAATAATTTAAATCTAAAAATTCCAATTATTTCAACAGTACTTTTGAGAACTAATAGAAGAGGAATGAGATCACTGCATTTTATTATTATTTTTTCCGCTGAAAGAATGATAGTTTTTAAAGGTTTAATGATGAAATATTTGAAAAATAATAAATATAGTGACTCTAGGATCCTATTCATTTTTAGTGAGTAGTCTGGGGTGAATCCCAGAAATTTGTTTACAAAAATTTCTGTTAAGGGGGCTGGGAAGGTGGCTCAGTGGTAGAGTGCTTGCCTTGCATGCTCGAGGCCCTGGGTTCGATTCCTCAGCACCACATAAGCAAAAAGAAAAAAGCCGGAAGTGGTGCTGTGGCTCAAGTGGTAGAGCGCTAGCTTTGAGCTGAAGAGCTGAGGGACAGCGTTCAGGCCCAGAGTTCAGGCCCCACGACCAGACCCAAAAAAAAAAAAAAAATTTCTGTTAAACCGGGCCAGTGGCTCACGCCTGTAATCCTAGCTACTCAGGAGGCTGAGATCTGAGGATTGAGGTTCAAAGCTAGCCCGGGAAGCCAGTTAGTGAAATTCTTATCTCCAATAAACCACCAGGAAACCAGAAGTGGAGCTATGCTCAAGTGGTAGAGCGCTAGCCTTGAGCTGAAGATCTGAGGGACGGTGCTCAGGCCCAGAGTTCAAGCCACACGACCAACAAAAAATAAATAAATAAAAAATTCTGTTACAGGAAGAAGGGGATTTTTACAACTTAGTATTAATGCTTTAATTCCTTTACTTTGTTGTATGTAGAGACAAATCTAGGCACTAAACTTTACCAGAATCCTTGGCCTCTACTAACTATATCCATAATCCCCAGATTATGATAATAAAAATATACTTGTAGAGGCTGGAAATGTAACCCAATGGTACAATACTTGCCCGGCATGTACAAGGCCTTAAACTCAATTCTCAGCACCACTCCCCAAAAAGTTCATGCATGGGTGTCTTTCCAGACCTTGCCAAGGACACTTACGGCAAAATCCATCCACTGTTTGTAAGTACAGTGCCTTTTATAATGAAAATATGATCATAATTTTAAAAAGCATGGTTCAATTAAAAGTAAAATAAAGCCACATTAGAAATGAACACATTTTTAAGGAGAAAGTTATCCATGTGCTGGGTGCCTGGAGCTCACACTTGTAATCCTAGCTACTCAGGAGGCTGAGATCTGAGGATCTCGGTTCAAAGCCAGCCCAGGCAGGAAAGTCTGTGAGACTCTTATCTCCAATAAACCACCAGAAAACTGGAACTGTGCTGTGGCTCAAGTGTTAGAGTGCTAGTCTTGAGCTGAAGAACTGAGAGACAGCACCCAGACCCAGTGTTCAAGTACCATGACCAACAACAACAAAAAAAGATGTGGAAAACATTTTTGGTATGCCTAAGAATCATCTATTGAGCTTTGTTAAGAGAGATTTCTAGAACTTATCTCTTAATAATATAGTTAATATAATTAATAGGATTGAGAGCAGCCCAGTAGTGTAGTATGTTTTTTATTTTTTTACATTCTGACTGTTTTACACTTTTTGGGGGGGGTTGGTTGTGGCACTTGAACTCTGGGCCTGGGTGCTGTCCCTCAGTTCATCAGTTCAAGGCTAGTGCTCTATCACTTGAGCACCACTTATGTGGGGCTGAGGAATTGAACCCAGGGCCTCATGCATGTGAGGCAAGCACTCTACCACTGAGCCAACTTCCCAGCCCCATTATTTACATTTTTATATTACATTTTTGTTAGCAAATCACTACTTTCAAATAGGCTGTACTTAGTGCTTATGTAAAAGGAATAAATTAGTACCAAATTCTTCCCATGCCATTTTTCCTGCTTATTTCTGCTTATAAACATAGCTACAAAACTATATTAACATTATTTAAGTGGATTCCACCATTTATGGTCATCTTCAGCTACTGACAGTAGAGGGCACTGTGAAGTGGAAGTATCCCTTCTTTCAAAATTTGTATAGTTGCTAACTCACATAATGACATTTCTGACATATTCTGAAATTACCAGTTGATTTAAAAAAATATCTTATCTGGGGGCCGGGAATGTGGCTCAGTGTTAGAGCACTTGCCTTGCATGCATGAGGCCCTGGGTTCAATTCCTCAGCACCACATAAGCAAAAAGAAAAAAGCTGGAAGTGGCGCTGCGGCTCAAGTGGTAGAGCACTAGCCTTGAGCTGAAGAGCTGAGGGATAGCGCCCAGGTCAGGCCCCACGACCGGATCCTCCTCCCCACCCCAAAAAATCTAATGTTTAATATTATAGACTTCCTCTGGAAAGAGTCAAAGAAAAACTATTTCCTTATACTGAAAGTATTGCTTACTTGAAAAACAAGAGATGAAAACTTAAGTAACAGACACGTTACACATAAGGTTTACTTTAAGAGGCAGATTATTTCTTACCTGATCACCTCGTTTCAGCCCTGCATCTGCAGCTTTGCTACCAGGTTCTACTCCTTCAACAAAGACACCAAATCCCTTTTCACTTCCTCCATTGAGGCTGAAATGCAGGGGGGACTCTCGGGAAGCCTTTTGCAGTACAACCTGTCTCCACTTGGCCTTTGCAGCACAGGCAATATTCAATAACCGGAGGTGACCGTTCATCTTCTGAAAAGTAGGAAAGAGTAATATATACTTTATATACGTATCCATTTCTTTATGCTTCTAAAACCATCTATGATCACTAGAATTAGAGCTATAAATAAATAGAGACTACAGACTATATGAGCTGGGGTAAATAAAGCTGAAGGGGAAGCACTTATACAGAAGGTTCTCTTAAGAACACTGTGATCTTAGGGCTGGGAAGGTGGCTCAGTGGTAGAGCGCTTGCCTTGCATGCCTAAGGCCCCGGGTTTGATTCCTCAGCACCACATAAACAAAAAGAAAAAAGCCGGAAGTGGAGCTGGGCTCAAGTGGTAGAACGTTAGCCTTAAGCTGAAGAGCTCAGGGACAGTGCCCAGGCCCAGAGTTCAGGCCCCACGACTGGACCCCCCCCCCCCAAAAAAAAAAGTACACTGTAATCTTAATAAATTTTTAAGAGTTTTAGACAATCACAATATAGAAAATATTTAAATGTAATGTCTCCAAGAAGGATGAGGGCTGGGAATGTGGCTTAGTGGTATTGTCAATCCCTCAACCTGGATCACAAAAACCAAAAAAGCCAGAAGTGGCACTGTGACTCAAGTGGTAGAGTGCTAGCCTTGAGCAAAAGAAGCCCAAGGACAGTGCCCAAGCCCTGAGTTCAAGCCCCAGGACTGGCAAAAAAAAAAAAGGATGGAAAAAAGTACTTCTCAGGCTCGTGCATGACTCACGCTTGTAATCCTAGCTACTTTGGAGGCTGAGATCTATAGATGGTGGTTTGAGGCCAGCCTGGGCAGCAAAGTCCATGAGTCTCTTAACTCTAATAAACTATTCTGAAAAAGCCAGAAGTGGCACTGTAGCTCAAGTGGTTAGAACTAGCCTTGAGCAAAAAAGCTCAGGATCAGCACTTGGGGCCTGAGTTCAAGCCCCCAGGATCAGTACACACACACACAAAATTACTTCTCATTTTCTAGCTGTCCCTAATACATTTTCTAATTCTACCTTGTTTATGTCCTCACTGCTATATAAAACCAGAATCTTTAAAAACCTTTGTTTAAAACCATGTTTCCAAATACTGTCTAAATCTCTACCGTTTCCAGAAAGGTATTTTTTAGTATTATTTCAGTTTTTCATTAAACTTAATAATATTCTAATTTCAAGTTCTAGGATCAGTTTACTATAACAAAGGAAAATCTAATGCCCACAGTAAGGAGCTACAGATTTTTTCAGGGCCAAGGACAAGGCCTCAAGTGGTAGAATTCCTGCCAAGCAAATATGAGAATATGAAATCAAACCTGTAACTTTTTTTCAATGCAGAGGGAAAGTATTACACTTTTTCTGATCGTACATTAACAACTTGGAATACTAGGAATACTGTGTGTTAGGTCTGCTTTCAATTACCATTACTATCTATCCTTCTTTTGTGGAGGGAGGGAGGGAGAGGGACAAAGAGGGAGGAAGAGAGAGGGAGAGGGAGGGGGGAGAGAGAGGGAGAGAGGAGAGAGAAGAGGAGAGAGAGAGAGAGAGAGAGAGAGAGAGAGAGAGAGAGAGAGAGAATCTAGTGCTTTGAGAATGTTCTACCACTTCTGACATGCACTCAGCCATAGGACTATGCTTTCAAATAAAACAATTAAAATATAAAGGTTACGTAATGCACCTAAATTCATATATATAGTAGACACTGGAAGCTGGATCTTAATTTAGCAATATGCTGCACATTCTTTCCTACAACTCCAATTTGCTTGGAACACGTAATCCAGTTTTGTATCTGACAGGGAGAATAGACTCATGAATAGCTACTGCAGAAGCTGAGAAGATCTTCAGTGAATTCTTTTAGGCAGTGTATGTTTGAAAAGGTGAAATTGCATGCAGGAAATGACCTATGAAGTCTTAATGGAGATCTAAGATAAGCCAAGCATGGTGATGTGAGCTATGGTCTCAGCTATGCAGGAGACTGCAGGAAGAAGGATCATGTCATTTTAGACTGGCCCCAGGCAAAAACTGAGACTTTACTTGAAAAATAATGCAAGTGAAAGGCTGGGGATGTGTGCTCAAGGGGTAGAGCAGCTATCTAACAAGACGAGGTCATGAGTTCAAATTCCTCAAAGAAAGGAAAAAAATAAAATTAGGAGAGAAGATCAGAGAGACTGCTGTTCTGAGTTTCTGTTCCTACTGAGTGGGTAAGAAGACTCCTAAACTTTGAAAAAAAAATCTTTTTGAGACATACTGTATCTTCCAGATGTTTTTCAAATTCCTCTAGAAATCGAGTCATAGCAGGATCACCTTCAAAATCATTGAAATGATTATTTACCCATAATAATACAATTCGTGTCACCTGTGGAAACATAAGGAGGCAACATATGGTTATCAGAAATATTCATTTTGAATTAAGTCAATTTCAAAAGCATGTCCTAAAAAGAGGCACTGGCCCGTATGGACAAACCTCTACCCTTTCCTTGTACACTAAAGGATCATCTCTAAGAGAGTAGCATGGTTTAGTTTCAACTTTTGCTTCCTTGAGTACACAGTAATAAGAGTAGGACTCCCGAGTACTCACTAAAAGAAATATGCAATCTCCTTAAAATACAAGCTTTACATTAAAATGCAAGCAATAATTTCAACAAAAAACTTGATGACTCACGACTGTAAGCTACTTGGGAGGACAGAGACCTGGAGGACTGATGTCAAAGGCAGCCTGAGCAAAAAAGTTCATTAGAGTATATTTCTGAAATAACCAGCAAAAAGCCTGGCTCATATGGATGAGTACTAGCTTAGCAAGAACGAAGCTCACAAACTCCAGTACTGAAAAAAAAGACAACAAAAAATCCAGAGTAGGTCTGAGTAAATTCTGATACATTTTGAGTACATTTCTGCATACTGTTCAAGGGCCTGGTTCATTTTTTCATATCTTATCTCTCAATAACTAAAGTAACTATATTTAATTCCAGAAAAGGGGAGGAGAATGGAGCTGGAGCCTTTAGTTTTAGATATCTTAGTTTCTAAATAATAGAATTCCAGAGTCTACTCACATCCAACTTATTTCCTTTAAACTTAGAGGGTTGGGAAGTTGGCTCAGTGGTGGAGCGCTTTGCCTTGCATGCCTGAGGCCCTGGGTTCGACTCCTCAGCACCACATAAGCAAAAAGAAAAAAAAAAGCCAGAAGTGGTGCTGTGGCGCAAGTGGTAGAGCACTAACCTTGAGCTGAAGAGCTGAGGGACAGCGTTCAGGCCCAGAGTTCAGGCCCCAAGACCGGACCAAAAAAAATTATTAACTCAGAGATAATCTGCCTTTTACTTTCTTAAAATAACTTACTTCTTACCTATCTGTGGAGGCATCATTAGTTTTTCACTAAATATTCAAATATCCATGAAATAAGGTAAAATAACCAATTTAAATTAGCAGATGATGTTTAATGCAAAAAAGTACTGAAGATTTAAATATGTCACAAGAGAGACAAATTCGGATTTGACAAATATTTTTGAATGATTAATAGAGTTTGTTAGAATATTCTCATTCTCAGGCTTAAAAGCAATCTAAGACCTCTAGAAGTTTATTTGGTAAATACTCTATAAATTATTAATCAGCTTTATAATGCTTTATTGATCTTAAGAAACAACCATGTTGGTAAAAATTTAAAGTACTTATCATATTTCCTGACTTTAAAACTGTATTATAGCGCTGAGCTCATGCCTGTAATCCTAGCTACTCAGGAGGCTGAGATCTGAGGATTGTTGTTCAAAGCCAGCCGGACAAGGAGCAAGAAAGTCCATGAGACTCTTATCTTCAATAAACCACCAGAAAAACTGGAAGTGGTGCTGTGGCTCAAGCAGTACAGCACTAGCCTTGAGCTGAAGAGCTGAGGGATGGCACCCAGGCTGAGTTCAAGCCCCATGACTGACCAAAAACAAAAACAAACCCCAAACTGTATTACAATGTTATTTTGAGTTTTGCCTTTTTTTTTTTTGCTGGTCCTGGGCCTTGAACTCTGGCCTGGATGTTGTTCTTAAATACCTTTTTGCTCAAAGCTAGCATTCTACCACTTGAGTCATAGCTCCACTTCCAGCTTTTGGTGGTTAATTGGAGACAAGAGTCTCACAGACTTTCCTGCCCTGGCTGGCTTCAAAGCCTGATCCTCAGATCTCAGCCTCCTGAGTAGTTAAAATTACAGGCATGAGCCTTTTAAGTTTCATGTCCATTTTAAACAGGCTACTCTGTCATAAAAGAAATCAGTTTCATATATATGCCTACTAAAAATTTTCTAGTGAACTTAAATATTTAACCTAACAACTGCAAAAAAGTAACAATCAAATGTAAAGGTGAAAGTCACATTCATGCTTTGTATATTTATAAAACCAACCTTGTCCCTTAAGCTGTCAATCTTAAACCATTCCAATAGTTTGACTCCAACATCCAAAGGACTTTTAAGAAATGTTCTATAAGTTAACAGAAAATCTTCTATATAGGTTGGGTCCACAATGGAATGTTCTTCTATCAAATGCATGATGAGACGCTCAGGTGTTGCCTAAAAATCCAAGGATTTGGAAAATAAACAGCTCAGGATTCAAGTAACTACTATTGGTAATTCCTCTTTATAGTCAGCCCCTTATAATGAATCCCCCAAGTAGAGTTTCATTGTTAACCCATTACCACCGGGAGAAGGTAGCTTCTCTAAGCTGTAATTCAGCAGCACCCCGAGGTTTAGAGTGAGAACAAGAAGAGCACTAAGTACCCAACAGCATCCAGTGGCATTTCACTCATTTCTCTCTTCTGTGGGCTGTTATTACCACTTCTGCGACAATGAGGGCATGTATTGCTTGTCCAAGACAAAGATGGAAGAAACAAGAGTTAAATAAAACAAAAAATAAAAAAGGAAAAGAAAAAGGGAGGCAAGAAATTAAGCAAGCAAGCACTTCCAAACTGAATTCACCTCAAATTCTCTTCTGCCCCAAGTTGTAGGAATAATATATTAGTTCAACACAGCTACTTTTACAGTTGCTACTTCCTTAAACAGAAATTTCCTCTTCTATGGTTTCCTTTGCTTCATCACCATTTTGGAGGAAACCAAAAATCCTTTAGATAGTTTTTTTTTTTTTGGTTTAGGTTTTATTTTTATATATTTTTTTAATGGTGCTCAGGGCTTGAACTCAGCCTGAGAGCTGTCCCTGATCATTTTTTGCTAGTGGTTCTACCACCTGAGTCACAGCTATACTTCCTGCTTTTGGAAGTTCACGGGAAATAAGAATCTCATGGACTTTCCTACCCCAGCTGGCTATGAACTATGATCTTCAGATCCCAGCCTCCTGAGTAATTAGGATTACAGGCAAGAGCCTGGTACCCAGGTACTGTAAATAAATTTTTCCATCCATTCAGTTTTAAATGCATGGCTGTTCCCAGTATTTCCTACTGCTTCTCTATGAGCTCCTGAACCAATTTAATAACTTATTAGCCATCACAGCTTACCAGATCATAAAGCTTTTTATAAAAATCAACTATGGCTAGGTATCAATGATCCAAAACTTTAAGCCTAAGAATACCAAACAGCTTTATTATTCAGGCCAATCATGATTTAGGGTAATCTAACTCTTCTTAGAGCGTATGTAGCAAAGTCAAGGATGAGAACTGACCAACATTAAAGACAGGCCATCATTCTGACTGGGTAAACCACCTGTGCAGGATTCCCACAGAGACTGGGCTATACTTTAAAACTTTAAAGATTAGCCCCATATTTGTGCAGAGGCATGCGTTCACAGGTAAACAGGAAGGGTAGATGCTTGGACAAAGGGTGCAGAGATGTTAGGCAAAATGACTGGCATGGTTATATTAGCATGGTAGAGATTGGTTACAATGAGCAAATAATTAAAGTACAGAGTATATCAAGTAGTACTGCTGATGGCAGTATTACTAAACATGAACAAACAGAAAACTGTTGTATAGTACTGGAACTGGAAGTGAAAAACCATAAGCTCATGGTGGCTTAATGTATACAAAGTTATAGATGTGTACACATCAGACATAGTGGCCAACCGGTATGCTGTAGGTCTTATAGATGTGTATGTGTAATAAATATGCACATTTCCTAGCTACATCCAATGATAAGCTCCTAATAATGCTGCCTCCGTTGTAATAAATACAGTCAGATGTAGATCTTGTTTTACAAATGCTGTTATCATCCACTTTGGAAATATGAGCTCTACGGAGAGATGGATATAGAAAATATTTATAATGAGGCGTATTGTTTGACAGGTACGAAAGAAGTGCTCAAAGAATACAGGAGTCAGCTTAAAGAAGGGTTCACTGGTCACAATGATACAGATTATGAGACTAACATATGAATCTATACAAGAGAAAGCCTGTTTTTAAAATAAACAGAAGAAATTATGGAAACAGGGTAGTAATAGGTTAGGCAAGAGTAGTCAATGGCTATAAGAACTAGTAGGTAGAGGTTTGCACACAGTTGTTGCTGCCCATAAACCTATAGTCATGGATAAAATATTGGTAATAACTCAGAACATTTCTCTCCCAGGTAGTTATCAATTACAAGAAGTCAAATGATGACTTCACAGTAAAGAAACTTAGATAACACTGACTGCATAGGAAGGTTAATTTCACCAGTGGTGGTAAAGATCAACAATTTGTATACCCCAGTGCCAAGAACACATCATTCTTTCTCTAGAATTCCTTTCAGGAAAGCATGACTTGAGTTTGGCCACGATGAAACTGATATGTCTAGGTAAAGCCACCACCTACTACAGGATATAAGCTCTATGCTCTTCAAGCCTGCTGAGGAAACATGTAACAGAAAAACTAAGCAACTCAAGTAGATCAATGTGACATCATAACTAAATAAACTATAGTCCTGGATGGAACCAGAAATAAAAAAATGGCACTGATGAGATCACTGGTGGAAATCTAACTGTGTCTCTGGGCAATGTTACAATAGTGTTTACTAACTTGAAAGACTATTATGCATACGCAGGAGGTGTTCTTGCTTTAGGAATATGTCGACATGACAAGGCAGCCCATTTACAGTCTGTTCTCAAATGGCTTAAAACAACCATTTGAGCAAATATAATGGAATATTGTAAAGTAGGAGAATCTGACTCAGAGAACTCTCTCTGTACTGGTCTTAAAACTTTTCTCTAAAAAATAGAGGAGTTTCCTCCAAAAGAGAAAATGAGTTGTAAGGTGCAATTTACTGAGCTGGTGGCTTATATTTTCAATCCTAGGTATTCAAAGGCTGAGATCTAAGGATCAAGGTTTGAAGCCAGAAAAAGGCAAAAGTGGAGGTGTGGCTGACCACCAGCTGTTAGCAAAAAAAAAAGAACAAGAGGCTTTGAGTTCAAGCCTCAGTACTGCATACACTCACAAAAATAAAATAAAAAATACAATTTTAAATAAAAATAACTGTTATTTAATAAAAATGTAGCCAGGCACTGGTGGCTCACGCCTGTAATCCTAGTTACTCAGGAGGCTGAGATCTGAAGATCACAGTTCAAAGCCAAACCAGGCAGGAAAGTCTGTGAGATTCTTATTTCCAATAAACCACCAGAGAAGCAGAAGTGGTGCTGTGGCTCAAGTGGTAGAGCGCTTGCCTTGAGCTGAAAAGTGCAGGGACAGTGCTCAACCCCAGAGTTCAAGCCCCACAACTTAAAAAAAAAAAATGTATATTTATTTTCCTATGGTAGTACATCTTTTCTACAAAGCTTAACACATAAACGTTTATGGAAAGAGATCTGAGGAACTCCCAAGGAAGAAAAGCTATGACATGAGATTTATATCATCTCTCCACTTTCCCTTATACTGTTTGCAATGAATAATGACACATTTAAAAAGAGAAAGTTATGTATTAATTTCTTCCCTTCTGACTATAATTGCTCTATTTTGCATTCACATGCTTTCAAAGAGACAAGAGGAGAAAGAGAAGGAATAGAGACTGGGACTCAGAGGAAGGAAAAGTATGGGGATTAATGTTCAGACCTATAATTATGGTGAAGTTTTAAATCTACCTCATTTAGCCCTAACATTACTGCCTGTTTATTTCCATTTTCAATTAAGAAAATTAAGATCAAAGTGTTAGTCAACACCTACTTCAACGGTATAGGGATTTAGCAACAATTAGCATTTTCATCTCAGTCTCCTTACGTCTATGTCTCTGTAGCTAGTCTTTGAATTTTTTCCCCCAAATATGGCTATTTTTTGTTGGAATCAACTAGCTATCAATGGATAAACATATACTTGAGAAGAAAAATGCTAATCAATATATTCTAAAATAATACTCTATAAGGATATTAAGTGGCAATAACACATATCTTTCATAGTAAAGATGAGAGAAAAGCTTAGAGAAAGGTAAAAGAGCCAAGATATTTATTTACAGTATGCAAATATTATTACATTATTTAAAAGTAGTTCAAAGTCTTTAAAAAATAGTGTATAGTAATTGTACAAGGGGGTTATAAATACCATATTTAATACACATATGAATCATAGTTTGATCAAATTAACCTTCTATTACTTTCTCCCCTCCCCCACTTTAAAAAAGCCTTTCTAAAGCAACATGAAAACTCTTAAGTTTATGAATGTCTAGAAAAATAAGTAAAAACACCCACCTTGATTACAATGTGTCCTTTCCTGGTCCCACTTCTGTCTAGCTCACGGTGTTCATGCACCATAACAATTTCTCCCTCTTCTTCAACTTTATGGGTATTTTTCTCCACATGATTTAAAATCCTCCAATAATCCTGCTGAGCTATGCAGACAAACTGTCCAAGAACAATATGGGGACAATTAAGGAATCTATAGTACAAAAATATATCACTGCGTACCAAGGCAGAGCACAAAGGCAAGAAACCAAGTGGCATCAGTTCTTTTTCTTTCAATTCTTTCAATCTTTAACACAAAACTCAAGGTAAAACAATTTATACACAAAGAGTCATAAGAAGTCAAATCCATCTGAATTCTGCTCTTTTAAAAAGAGAAGTGAACATCTACTTCTCTCAAAATAGACACTAGGCATAGAAAACACGAAGCAGGACTAAGTCAGAAAAAACTCAGAAGTTCCTATTTCTTTCCTTTTTCAAAACTAAAAAGATTCTGAGCTTGCTAGTATCCGAATTCCAAAATTAAACCAGCATTTATTTGATACAGTCTCTTAAAATTTCAGTTTGCTTAATTCCACAAAAGCTTGAAGCAGACATAAAATCTAGTTTGCTTTATTAATTTTAATTTATTGAAACTCCTAATTCCCAAATATTTTCCTGTTTCAAAGTAAAAACAGTTTCTGCCATTTTTAAATCTAAAAAAAAAAAAAAAAAAAGACTATCTGACTAAAAAAGAAGCTTACCTGACAGTCATCTACTTTAGTCCTGACAATTCCATGCATGTACTGCTTATCCAGAGTGGGAGTAATTCCAAAACTATTTCCCATAAAGAGATTTTCAACTTTTCCATCTGGATGACTGATTTCTACAGTGCCGTTTAAAATAACATACCATGAATCCAGCTATAGGGAAAAAAGAAAGTTTTAATAATCTTTTTTACATGTTAACTTTGAACCAGAGTCTAGCAAAAAGCACAATGTGCATGATTTAAAACTAAGATATGATTATAGTATTAATTTGCCACTAACATTGTATTCCATATCTCTGTAAACCATTATAGTTTATTTTTAGTCATCAAAGGAAATCAAGGACTTTCATTACTGATCAAGGTCTCTGAGGAAAAATAGTATAATTTTTTGGCTATTTAATAATTTTGTTATGCTGGGCACTGGTGGTTCACATTCATAAATCCTAGATACTAAGGAAGCTGAGATCTGAGGATTGTAGCCTAGGCAGAAAAATCCATGAGAGGGGCTGGGAAGGTGGCTCAGTGGTAGAGCACTTGCCTTGCATGCTCAAGGCCCTGGGTTCGATTCCTCAGCACCACATAAGCAAAAAGAAAAAAGCCGGAAGTGGCGCTGTGGCTCAAGTGGTAGAGCGCTAGCCTTGAGCTGAAGAGCTGAGGGACAGCGCCCAGGCCCAGAGTTCAGGCTCCACGACTGGACCTCCCCCCCCCCCCAAAAAAAAAAAAATCCATGAGACCATGAGACTCATCTCCAAAAGCTGGAAGTAGAGCTGTGGCTCAAGTGATAAGAGTGCTAGCCTTGAGCAAAAAAAGCAGCTCAGAGACAGCACCCAGGCCCTGAGTTCAAGCACCAGAACCGGGGTGGGCAGGCAGGCAGGCAGGCAAGCAAGCAAGAAATAAATAAATAAATAAATAAATGTTAGGTTTTTTTGGTTACATTTTGGTAGGCCCAGTGGTTTCTATTATAAACATACTGAAGGGAACATGTTTTGACATAACTAAGTTTTTTTGTTTTTGGTCAGTCGTGGGACTTGAACTCAGCCTGGGCGCTGTCCCTCAGCTCTTCAGCTCAAGGCTAGAGCTCTACCACTTGAGCCACAGCACCACTTCCAGTTTTTCTGGTGGTTTATTGGACATAAGAATCTCACAGACTTTCTTGCCACGGCTGGCTTTGAACCACAATCCTCATACCTCAGCCTCCAGAGTAGCTAGGATTATAGGCGTGAGCCACTGGCACCGGGCTCTAAGTAAGTTTTATATTAGGGCCTCAGAAGAGAAATTTGTAACTAGAACAAAAGGTTAGAGAATGAATACTTTGGTGCCACATTAAGGATTTCTAAATGACTCCAGAAATGCCATAACAGTTTATATTCCTATTAGTAGTAAATGACAGTATTCACGTCACTAACTAACATCTCTGCATTAATCCTTACTAATTTTATAATAAAAATAGCCACCACTACCTAGTAGCCTAATACTTTCAACCCCATGAAGGTCTTTCTCCATCTATAAGCCACCATCTGAGCTGAAGAGCTCAGGGACAGTGCCCAGTCCAGAGTTCAGGCCCCACAACCAAAAAAAAAAAAAAGTCTCACAGACTTTTCTGTCTGGGCTGTCTTTGAATTGCAATCTTCAGATCTCAGCCTTCTGAGTAGCTAGGATTACAGGTGTGACCACCAGTGCCTAGCCTCCTAAACATTTTAAACACCAACAATATAAATGCAAATAGAATGATAATTAAGCACTGTTTTAAAAAAATCTTATAACTTAATTTGAGAAACAAAAAGTTGGTTCAGCGTGCTCCATAAAGTACACTGCTAGGAAATACATTATAACTACCTCAAATTTGGTATGTACTTGAAATAGTTTAAAACACAAAAGCCCAGGATTTATACAAGTTTATGGAAATTAATTCTCCTAAAAGTAAAATTAGTAAACAGTTGATATTGATCACAATAACCTATGATGTTTATTTGCTAACTTACCTCTTGCCCATCTTCAAGAATAACAGCTCCAGCCTGCTCCACCACTTCGAAGATCATCACTGAGCATAGCTCTCTCCTCACAGACATGGTCATGTTTGCAAAAGCAGGGAGCTGGTGCATAAACTCAAGCAATTGCTCTATGGAAAAGTAGAAATTCTAGAATGAAGACCATCAAAGAGAATACCTTATACATACAACAAAATTCACAATACCGAGTTTTCTAATCAACTTATGAATTTATGTTGCTAAAGAAACCGAGACACTGGGGCTGGGAAGTTGGCTCAGTGGTAGAGCGCTTGCCTTGCATGCCTGAGGCCCTGGGTTCAATTCCTCAGCACCACATAAGCAAAAAGAAAAAAGCCAGAAGTGGTGCTGTGGCTCAAGTGGTAGAGCTCTAGCCTTGAGCTGAAGGATAGCACCCAGGCCCAGAGTTCAGGCCCCACAACTGGACCCCCCATCCCCTCCCACAAAAAAAAGAAACCGAGACACAATTACTATTAAGTAAACAGAAATCAGTTTTTAGTACACACACACACAAACACACGAAAACAGAATTTACAACCCTTGGAGAAAATCAGGAAACTACATGGGTTCAGATAATGCTGGAGAGTTTAATTTGTAAGCTTCAGATACCACTGTGGGGTGGTTTAGGGAAGCTCTTTACTAGATTAATGAAAGGGTCCTTTTTATTTGTATTTCTTTTTGTGCTGGTTCTGGGGCTTGCTCTGGGCCAGGGTGCTATCCCTGATCTTTTGTACTCAAGACTGACCCTCTACAACTTGAGCCACAACTCCATTTCCAGTTTTTTTTTGGTGGTTAAATGGAGATAAGAGTCTCCCAAACAGCCTCTTGAGTAACCAGGATCATTGATATCACTTAATGAGTTTATAGGTTTTTTTCTTCTTTTCAACAGTATTAATAAATGCCAAGTAATTAAATTAGGGACTAACAAATGTGAATCTGAGCTCAAGATCTGTCAAAGCAACTTCATAACAGCATTTAATATTTATTAGTTAAGGAACATGAGTTCCTTAATCCATTCAATGGTATATGATAATGATGCTATATACCACAACTTTTATAAAAACTGAAAATAGCTAGTATATAATTTATCATGTAAACTGCTCTTCTCTGCTGGGAGGAGTGAGGCAGGCCTAAAATCCCAGCATCTGAGGCAAGAGAATCACAAGTTCCAGGCCAGATTGGGCTATACAGACATTGTCTCAGAAAATAAATCAGATGGGAGGGAGAAAAAAGTATCTTTAGCATTCAATTTTCCAATCAAAGTATAGTAACTAGTTCTGTAATACATTACACAAGAGATTGTAACAACATTTTTTTTTTTTTGGGGTCCGGTCGTGGGGCCTGAACTCTGGGCCTGGGCGCTGTCCCTCAGCTCTTCAGCTCAAGGCTAGCGCTCTACCACTTGAGCCACAGTGCCATTTCCAGCTTTTTTCTTTTTGCTTATGTGGTGCTGAGGAATTGAACCCAGGGCCTCATGCATACAAGGCAAGCGCTCTACCACTGAGCCACCTTCCCAGCCCCTGTAACAACATTTTAGATAGATACCTATCTTTCAGATTAGAAACCTACAAATGTTGTTTGGAAAAATCTTCAAAATCAGGGGGCTGGGAAGGTGGCTCAGTGGTAGAGCACTTGCCTTGCAAGCCTGAGGCCCTGGGTTCGATTCCTCAGCACCACATAAGCAAAAAGAAAAAAAAGCCAGAATTGGCGCTGTGGCTCAAGTGGTAGAGCGCTAGCCTTGAGCTGAAGAGCTGAGGGACAGCGCCCAGGCCCAGAGTTCAAGCCTCCCCCTCCCCAAAAAAAATCTTCAAAATCATACACCCGTAACATAGTTTGCTATGTAAGTACCTTGCGGAGCTGGGCACCAGTGGCTTGCCCTGTAATTCTAGTTACTGAGGAGGCTAAGACATGAAGGATCATGGTTTGAAGCCAACTTATGCAGAAAAGTCCATGAGACTTTTCCAATTAACCAACAAAATGATAGACTGGAAGTATGGCTCAAATGGTAAAAGGTCAACTGTGAGCAAAAAGCTGAGCAAGAACATAGGCTCTGAGTTCAAGCCTCAGTACCAATGCATAACAACAACAACAATAAACTATCTTATGGCATAAAGAAGAAAATCAGTTTGATGCAATCAAAGTTTAGGTTTTAGGGATTGATCAAGATGCATTGTCCTCATAATCTGACTTGTGGAATTCAAACTGCTTTATACAACTACTTAATTTAAAAAAGAAAAGAAAAATGTTTTATCAACTGGCAGACAGCCTTTATGGCGGTTCTCAACATCCCACACTCCTGGTATTTACATTCTTATACAGTCCTCTTCCTAATAGTGTATCAGTTGCTTGGTGTGATGAGTCTGGCAGAAATGAAAATAAGTCATTTATGAAGCCAAGTCATAAAAGACATGTAGCCTCAGCCTTATTATCTCTTGGATTAATTGGTTTGTGGGGGAGGGGATTCTACTGCCCCATGCTTTAAGTAGTAAGCAGGCTATGGTTAAGACCCAACTGACAAAGAACTGAGGTTCTTTACCGAGCCTCAGAGTTGCTTTCTTGGACATAGATACTCAACTTGATCCAGTTAAGACTCAGATGACTACAGCCCCTGTGGACATTCTGACTTAGGATACTGAGCCAGAATTACCCAACTAAGATGCACTTTAACTCCTGACCCACAAAAACCATGAAATAATAAATACATGCTGGTTCATGTCATTGAATTTTTTTTTTTGTATAATTAGTTAAGCTGCAATAGGTAACTAGTTTTTGCAGATTCTTAAGTAAACTGGCATGTATCTTACCAATGTCATCATCAGTTTTATCTGCAGGTTCCTTCTCAAGACATTCTCGAACAAGATCTCGCCCCTGCAATGGATCTGTTTGGTCAATCTCTTCCTCCTCCTCTTCTTCATCCTCAGAATCAACAGGTCCCTCTGGAAGACGTGTTAAATCTACGTCTCCTACCTCACTCTCTGTAGCCTACAGAAAGAAATCTCAATCATTTATTATGGTACAGTCTGGAATTAACAAAAATGACCCTGCTTACTAAGTATCGTAGAGATTAGGTGACAATGTATGCTTCATGATGAAAATAATAAACTACATTGGGCACTGGTGGCTCATACTTGTAATTCTATATACTCAGAAGGCTGAGATCAGAAGATCATGGTTCTAAGTCAGATAGGACAGAAAACTATGTGAGACTTGTATGTACAATTAACTAGTAAAAAAGCGAGCAGTTTTTTTTTTTTGGTCGGTCGGTCATGGGGCTTGAACTCTGGGCTTGGGCGCTGTCCCTGAGCTCTTCAGCTCAAGATGAGTGCTCTACCGCTTGAACCACAGTGCCACTTCCGGTTTTCTGGTGGTTTATTGGAGATAAGAGTCTCACAGACTTTCCTGCCTGGGCTGGTTTTGAACTGTGATCCTCAGATCTCAGCCTCCTGAGTAACTAGGATTACAGGCGTCAGGCACCGGCGCCCGCTGAACAGCAGTCTTGAGTGAAAAAGCCAAGTGAAAGCTCAAGGATCTGAGTTAAAGTCCTAGCATCAGAACAACAACAACAACAACAAAAAATGTTTATATAAGGTCTCTTTCTGTCCCAAATACAGGCTTATCTTTCCATAGTGTGATATCTAGGTGATAAATCTGAGCCAATAAATATAAAATTTCTGGGAGATTCAAATATTATTAAATATGTTAATAAATTTCCCAACAAAGCTGGGAACAAAGTTGTACTTTCTCAAAACTACAAAGCACTCTAAAACATGAAGTATAAGAAAGATAAGGCATAATAGCTGGAAATGGAGCTGTGGCCCTAGCAGAGTGCCATCCTTCAACAACAATAAAAAAATCTAAGTGACAGCATTCAGGTCTTGAACTCAAGTATGTGAGTTTGTGGCCTGGCAAACACAAACACACACAAAAATGATAAATAAAGTTTAAGAGAATTCTTTACAGGCTATCCTGTAAAGAATTAAATTGAGAATGAAAGTTTGGAAATATTTATATACTAAAGCAGAAATATACTAAAACAGACCTATCACAGAGGTCTAGGATATTGATCAATATCCAGTTTGGTGAATGGCAATTTCTTTGTACAATTAAAGGTAATAAAAAATAAAGCAAATCATTACCACTATGAAACAAAACAAAAACTTCACTTCCCATCCCTTATAATTGGATCCAACCATATACTAAGTAATTTTAAAATGAACTTATACTTAACAACTACAAAGTTGGAAATATATTAGTGTTAGATATCTTTAAAAGAGCTAGCAAATATGTCAAAACTAAGTTGAAATTTAATTCACAGAAAATAATGATGTCTTTTAGAATTTTTTTTTTTTTGTCAGTCATGGGGCTTGAACTCAGGGCCTTGCTGCTGTCTGGCTAGCACTCTACTACCTTGAGCACCACTTCTGGTTTTTCTGGTCGTTAACTGGAGATAAAAGACTCACAGATTTTCCTGCCTAGACTGGCTTCAAAGCTTGATCCTCAGATCTCAGGCTTCTGAGTAGTTAGGATTATAGGCATGAGCCACCATCATCCAGTGAAAACAAAATTCTTAAAGTAGCTTATTAGATAGTATTTCTAATTATTACTCATAAATGAAAAGAAATGAGTATTAAAAGCAGTTACAGAAAAAAAAACTGAGTTAACACACAGGAATTCCAAGACACTCAAAGTATCAATGAGGGCTGTAGAAGCTTCTTCCAAATATTTTGTCTCATCTCCTGATTTTAACATTTACTATTTTGTCTGTCCAGAAAAGGCTCTATTTTCTTTTGGGGAATGTGTTCCTCTCATCTGCAACCCAGAGATTCCAGTGGGAAACAGAACCCTGTTACCTAGTAAGGTAACCTAAGGCCCTAAGGGATGGTTCCTCTCAGTGGAGCTAAACTAGAACATCCTTTCCTTTTTGGCCACAGACTTGGAAGACAATCAATCAGAGTAGGGAAGATAATCTATAGCAGTATAGAAATGCCTATTGGTGGTTGGAGAAAATAGAACAAACAGCAAGAGAAGCAATGAGGAAAAGAGATAGACATAGTAACAAAGCAATACAAAGCATGCAGGAACAAAAACAAAAGGCATAGGATATATAGCAAAAGGCATCTCTGACAGAGTATCACAGAAAGAGAGGGAGGAAAACCACGAAAGCCACAGGGAGCCAAAGGACCAGAAAGAGACAGACAGGCAGATTCTCTGCAGCCAGAGCTGCTTCTGCTTTCTCTGAGAGTCAATAAATTATCCCTTTGGCTTTTGTTAATTCAAGTTAGGGCTGTGATAGCAGAGCTGTTTTGCTTTATAGGACTATGATTTGTGCTTTCTTTAGATTTCTCCATAGCTTTAAGTAGTAGCTGGTTAACAATCAAGACTAAATACCCAAGTTGAGAGCTTTAAAATTAGACAAGGTGACTTTCATCAGTCTACTGTAGTCTGGATGTCTATTTCACCTTACGTTTTTTTGTTGTTGTTTGCTTCTTCCCTCCTCCCAAGGTGCTGTAGATTAACAACCAAGATCAGGCACATGCTAGGCTACCACTCTTCCCTGAAATACAGGCCCAGGCCCCCTAAAGTTCTTATACTAGAATCTTAGTCCCCAAGGTATTAGGAGGTGAGATCTGTTGGAGGGCCTCAAGTCATGAAGAAAGTAATTAGGTCATGAGAACACTTACGAAGAGGGCCATTAGTACCAGATAAATGAGGCCACAGGGAGCTTATTCTACCACAAAAGCACAGGTGAACGTGACTATCAGTGGTATAGATAGAAAGTCTACTAACACCTTGATTTTGGATGTCACTGTTTTCAAAACTGTGAAAAATAAATTTCTACTTTTTAAAAGCTATACATTGTGACAATAGCCTAAATTAGGGTCATACAGAAAGGCAATTCTATCTCATACTAGCTGGTATGCTCTTATAAAGAAAAAAAGGAACAAACTTCAGATAGAAAGTATAAAGTATGAGTAAACTAAGCTGGATGCTGCTGGCCCACACCTGTAATCCTAGCTACTCAGGTGGCTGAGATCTGAGGATCGCAGTTCAAAGCCAGCCAGGGCAGGCAAGTCCTTGAGACTCTTATCTCCAAAACCTACTAGAAAACCAGAAGATCGCTGTGGCTCAAGCAGTACAGTGCTTGCCTTGAGCTGAAGAGTGCAGGGACAGCACCCAAGCCTAGAGTTCAAGTCTCACGACCAAAAAAAAAAAAAAAGTAAACTTGAATTAAGGACAATACAAACAAACCAAACTCAAGTTGGGGGGGGAGGGGGGAGTCAAAAAAGGTTCTAGAGTTTCAACTCAGACCTAACACTTGCTAGACAGGTACTCCACGAGTGCCATTTTTTCAGTGCTATTTTTTTAAAGGGTCTTTCTTCCTTCCTAGGTACATGCCTGGACCATGAGCTATTTTTGACTTCCTTAGCCAAGCCTGGATGAAAGGCATGCATCATCACACCCAACTTCTTTTCACCAGGATGAAGTCTCAGACTTTTCTGCCCCAGCACAGCTGCAATCTTCCAGATCTCAGTCTCCATACAGCTGGAATGACAGGCACATACTACTACCAACAACTGAGAAGAAGTATCAAAGACTTTTTCTTCTTGGACTACTCTTGAATCCAAATCCTCCTGACCTCAGCCTCCCCATAGCTAGGACTAGTGCCCAGCCTCCAAAAGGTATTAACAGAAATCTTAGGGCCTCATGTGAAAATACAAACAGTACAAAAAATGTGAGTTAAAATATACTCCATATTTTGTGCTCATTCACAGCCCATATACTACATTTAGAATGATACAGATACTATCAGGGCTCCAAGTTAAGCATATTGGTGAAGTGTTCCATATTTTAATAAAAATATTACACTCCATATTCATTAAGATAGAGTATGCAGCAAGTTGAGTCCTGGTCTTCCAACTGCTTTGTCTTAGAATACAGTAGGCCCTCAGAAAGACCGATAAATAAGGGAGGAGGGGAGCATATTGGTAGATAAGACAAATATTAATCATATTTTTCACTCCTGTTTTATGTGTACCTGTGATCATGTAAATATAATTTAGTGAGGCAATCAGCCTGAGGTGATTTTCTGATGAGCTAGTCTTTTCCCAAATAAACCATCAGAAGATATCTTCTCTCTATGGGCCTCTAGATATAAAAGAAGCAAGAATGAGAGGAACTACAAGCTAGGATTAAGAGTTATATAAACTTTCAAAACTTTGTTTTAAATTTAGGGCACGTACAAAACCAGAACCTCACACTTTCAATGTTTCACTGGGCTTGACTCAGCAGAAGATAAAGAGTTATGAGTAAGACACAAACTCTGATGTTCATAAATTTCCTCTGATGATGCCAAATGTCAAGTTTAGAAAAGTCATGAAAAGAGAAGCCCCACAGTGGGAAAGTAGTATGAGCTCCAGAAAAATTGCTGTGGGGTTCCAATGGGGTGGAGGAAGGGCACTCATTTTCTGTCGGAAAAGTACATAGAGACAAATTAAAGTATCATTAAGGTGAACCATAGGGAGAAGTACATGACTCACACAAGCTAGGACAAAGCACATGTGCTAAAAGAAGGGCATGTCCATTTTGTCAGATCCTACAGTCTAAGTAGGGGAATAGACTACAGATGGTGGTGAGAGGTGAAAGGCTTCAAACTTGCAGTGAAGAGTACAAGTTAGGTAATGGTGATACTAAGTATGTTTAAAGAGAGGATTAAATAAAGCCACAATATTCTTGCAAATTATTTCAAGTGAGAATTTTAAGAAATGGTAATTTAAAAAAAGGTAACAGAGTATGACTAAAACCAAGATAATATTCTTAAAAGAAATGTTAAAGACAGGTAGAAGAACATTTGGTGGGGCAAGGCTAGCTGAGGTCATGGCAGTAGAGATGCGGCACCTGAGTTCTGGCATAACTTATAGTCAGGAAATCATGCTACAACACAGGAATATTAGGAATTCGCTTTTATCCACTATACAAACGAAAAACAAGATGGTAGATGAATGCATGCCTTGGGCTATGTAAGAATGAGTTAATGAAAAGACAAAGGCTTCTGTTTAAGAGTCAGTATTTCACAATTTTCCAGCTTAGACAAGACTGAAATAGAAAAAGGAATTTAGAAAGAAGCACTCCTTATTCTCTTGAGTACTCTTGGAAGATGCATAAAATATTCTATCCAAGAACATTCTAACATCTTAATGCACACTTTCAACTACATTTTAAGCTAATCTGATTAAACATAGTCAAACTGAAAGCACTACTAGCATTTTTTTCTGACTGTGATAAATAATTGAAGTTTCTCTGAGTTCCATTAGAAATTATTTTCTTGGCAGTACTAGGGTTGGGAGAGGGCCTTGCACGTGCTAGGTAGGTGCTTCATCACTTGAGCCACATTGCTAGCCCTTTCTGCTTTGGTTATTTTTTGGATAGGGTCTCACAATTTTGCCCTTTTGCCCAGGATAGCCACCAAAGATGATCCTCCTGATCTCTGCCTCCCATGTAGGATGTCAGGTGCACACCACCACTGTTTGGCTTATTTATTGAGATGAAGTCCCTTATTTCCCCAGATCTGCATCCAATGGTGAGCCCTGATCTTTACCTTCTGATTAAAGGGGATTACAAGTATGAGGTATACCACGCTTTTGTTTTTAAATTACAAAAACATGAAAACTCAGGTGATGTGTATAAAGAGCTGAATATATAAAATAATCTAAGTAATTTTCTTGCTAAGAGTTACTATTAAGATAGCTCTCTTCTAAATCTCCAAATTAAAAATATTTTTATAATTTGAAATTGCTTTGCTTATACTATTACAGGCTCTCATCTGAACCATCTTCAATAATGAAATACACATAATCAGAAAACTCAAGTAACACTGGATTAGACATCATCAATGTACAGCTGTAACTACAGGGTGTGTTCATAGCTTTAACAGGTGCTCCTCAAGGTAGCTTGAGGGTAAGGAAATACCAAGGATCTACAACTGATACTTAACTCTTCCCTGCTAGTCCTGAGGATCTGGTTGGAAACAAGTCTTCCACACAAGCCTTCCACACACAATTTACTCCAGTGATATTACATAACGTATCCATAAATAAGGCAGATCTTAAAAGATGTTTTTGCATTTTGATGTCAGCACTTCCACAATTTCCTCTAATCTCTGGTTTCCTATTTTGGTTCCAAAATTACAGTACTTCTATAGACCTTTTAACTGTTCTTCTAAATTCATTAACTTATCTTACTGGTTAATTAATACATTTTAATGCCTGATCATAAAAAAGCTATATGGATCCTATTTATTATGATCTTCTGGAAAGTAAAGATAGAAAAATCATTGGTAGTTAGAGGGTGGTAGGTAGGGATCAGAAGAGAATGACTCCAAAGAGGCATAGAGTACTTTCTGAGTAATGGAAATGTTCTACGTCTGATGTAGGCCATATTAAACACAGTAAATTTTATTATAAATAAACGTTAAAACAAAATTAAGCATTTAGGAGGCAGAACTTAAGATAGCTTGGTGATGTGATGACTGAGGGAAAAGGGTCAATGGTACATCACAGGTGTCTGGTTATTGCATGTAGAATATGCAGCTGAGCTAGAAAAACACGTACCATTCTGCAATGAAAGACCTCCAAACAAAACTAGCAAGCAATCTATAGATACTCATGTAAGTGAGTTGCTTCAGAGACGACTCCTCACTGTTGCAGTTATATACACTCTGTTCTCCAGTTCACAGTAAAGCATATGTCTTTTAGGGTGGGCTAGAATATATTAACCTCAACTGCCAGACAAAGTAAGTGACCTTACAGCCACTGCCATTTAGAATGCAAAGTTAATTCACTCATAATGCTAAAACAGTGATAATACGGTGTTAATATGGTCATTCATCCTTTATTTTACTAAAAGTGATTATTAATCCAGGTATTGGTGGCTCATGTCTATAATCCTAGCTACTCAGTAGTCAGAAATCCAAAGATCATGGTTTGAAGCCTTTTGGGCAGAAAAGTCCCTGAGACTCTCATCTCCAATTAACCATCAAAAAAGGGGGGGGGGGGGGGGGGGGGAAAGCTGCAAGTGGAGCTATAGTTCAAGTGGTAGAGCACTAGCTTTGAGCAAAAAAACCTCAGAAACAGTGTCTAGGTCCTGAGTTCAAGACTTAGGACTGGCATTAAAACATCATCAGCAACGTGATTTGTTGTATATTCATAATCTATGACAAAAATAAACCACTGGGATCCAGGACATAGGGCATTGCAACTAAATTAGACATCATAGAAATTCCTTTATCAGGACCATAAAACAGCTGGAAAGTAATTTTTGGTTTAATTTCAACAGGACTGTGTGAGGATTCTCAGTGTATGGTTGTTTCCAGAGCCCTTTTTCTGTTACAAGCCATCTCAGAAAATCTCATTAGTTTGCAACTGTTTATAAAAATGGGTAAGTTTGTAAGTATACTTCTGAATTTTGTATTTAATTCATGTTACAAAACCTTTACAATACAAAAACCACCTTAATTTTTCCTCATGACTTCTTTTAGAAGATTTTAACAATTAAAATAAAAATCAGACCTTCTCTAAGTTTAAGCTCAGTTGTTTCAAAAACCATTTTTAAACCAAGCAATCATTCTGTATTAATATAGATGCACCTGGACAAAAGAAACAGAAGAATTCTGTAGTCATATAAATGGACTAAACTGAATTCTCAAAGATAGATCTTCTCTTAAATATTAAACAATGTTTATTGCATACTTTCCCAAAGAACTTATGCTTGAATTTAGCAACCTAGTTAAAAGATAAAGGTAAGGCATAAGCACAGGACATTCGCAAAATTTAAAGAAGCTGCCTGAACAGCATACCACCTAAGGTATTACCTGATAGATATCAGACAAACTGCTGCTCCCAGAGTCACTGGCAATGCTACAACCAGACTGACTAGAGGACACGTGAGTCACTTGTGGGTGAGGGTTGTCTGTAAGGTGCATCTTGGTAAGGTCAGCCGGAAGCTGAAGAAAAAAAATAACCTGTGTTATTCTAAATGTCAAACTGTATCTTTAAAATTGTTCTTGATATAGTGCAAGTTCTGCAGCATATTTTTGGTCTACATACCTTGCTGTGCATAAAGGGTTAGAAATCTGTTCTAACCTAAACTTCTCATTTTTAGAAAAAAAATTCTTGAAATAATTAAGAATCCAATAGCACTCTATAACTATGAGATATTGCTAACGTAGTAAGCCCATGGAATAATTTTTTTCTTTTTTTTGTCAGTCATGGGGCCTGAACTCTGGGCCTGGGCACTGTCCCTCAGCTCTTCAGCTCAAGGCTAGTGCTCTACCACTTGAGCCACAGAGCCACTTTCAGCTTTTTCTGCTTATGTGGTGCTGAGGAATCGAACCTAGAGCCTCATGCATGCAAGGCAAGCACTCTACCACTGAGCCACCTTCCCAGCCCCCATTGAATAATTTTCTACAGGCTGCCATTACTAATAGCATTTCAGAAGAACCTGGCTTCTCTTTTTTCCAAACAAAAGTATCAGCTGCTTTCGTGATATACAGTAGAAATCTCTTTTCTCTTCTTTCCCCTGTTGTCTTCCCTCTCTCCTCTCCCCATTATACAAAATTATGGCTAAAACCAGATAAAATAGCAATGCCTGGGATTAAAGCACAACACCTGGCAGGAAAAGTAACTGCATTCGAGATTCCAACAATTTTTAGTCATCTTTATTTTACTTTGTAGTTGGCAACTGAGGAATTTATTAGTGATCAAAATGACTTAATGAATGGCTGTGCTATATGTAGAGATATACAACATACACAAGGAAAGGACTCCACCTCTTCATCCTTAATATGATTGTACTCATATCACAAATGCAGGTTACATATTTCATACCATAAAATAGCCATCTCATAAAATAGGGCTACAGAAGTGAAGAAACCACTGTAAAAAAGAACCCCCTCTTCCACTGAAGAAACCACTGCAGTCCACCGTAATGAATATTTTCATAGGAGATATGGCTTTTTTCTGAATAATTTCTCTTCAACTTTCTATTCTGGATATTAAGAGGCGCCCATTCAATTTTTAAAGTACTGTTTGTCACTGAACAGAATAAATCAAGTATGTTCTAAAAGAAAATATTCAAGGCTGAATTCTACTAACTCAAGAAGGTATATAATTATAGAAAATACACATAAATTACATAGTGCATGTTTACTCTCACATATGGAATATAGATCTAAAATGCAAACACGCATGATACCTATGCAGAGCTCTATGCATATACCCACAAATTCTCTAAAGTATGGTAAACTTAGGGGAGGAATCTAAAGGTGTAACTCCATTAAACAACATATGCACTGTTTAGCAGAATGAAACATGTTCTGGAGGGGAGGGCAAAGGAGGAGCACATGAATGGAGGGAGAAAGAGTGAGCAAATGCAGTCATTAGGGCCAAAGTACATTACATAAAAAAATGAAGTACATAATCTGAGGGTAGGGCTGGAAGTAGGGAAAATGAGGGAGAACACTGACTCACTGATCAAGAAGCATTGTACTCCTAACTTATGAAATTGTAACCTCTGTACAAATAATAAAAAATTACAGTGCACTGTCCACAAACAAATGTACTCTTATCTGACTTACGAAATGGTAACCCCTCTGTACAACACCTAAATAGTAACAATAAAATTGTATTAAAAAAATTACACAGTGACTTTCCCCCTTTGATGTTGGGTTAGGTAATCGACATTAAGATAAAGAGAAAACACTATTGAGAGCCACTGGTTGAAGGGACAAATGTTCAATGATAAGCTTCAGTGGAAGGGGGCCCTGGAGAATGAATTACACTCTGAGTGTTACCTAAAAGCAAACTGATACTGATTTTTACAATCACCAAGGTTACACAGGATTACAAGTGTTTCTAGTCAACTGTTGGAAGCAAATATAAATCCTGAGAGAAGGGGTAGGAACAAAGGAGATGCAGTGAAAAATGATGCCTGATGCCAGGCGCTGGTGGCTCACACCTGTAATCCTAGCTTCTCAAGAGGCTGAGATCTGAGGATCATGGTTCAAAGCCAGCCTGGGCAGGAAGATCTGTGAAACTCTTTATCTCCACTAAACTACCAAAAAAGCCAGAAGTGGAGATGTGGCTTAAGTGGTAGAGTGCTAGACAACACCCAGGCCAAGTTCAAGCCCTTGGGCTTAAAAAAGAAAAGAAATCGGAATAATCAGTCATACAAAGAGAAGAAAGAGTATTTAAAAACATAGAAACGGTCCTAAGGCAGTGGCTCATGCCTATAATCCCAGCTACTTGGGAAGCAGAGACAGGTGGTGATAAAGATGAAAACTGAATGAATGGGTCCAGCTTTCAAGGTGTTCCATGGACAGTGAAGACACATTTATAAGCAAGCAGTACCTGATTTCTACATCATGGGGAAACCTTATGAAAGATTTCAGTTGGATTTCCCTCAGCCTCTCTAAGGGATGGGAATGATAGCAAATATATTTTACATGACTTTTATATAGATTATCTGATTTAATCTGCTGCAGTTTAGATGTCCAGAAATACCAAGGTTTATCTGCAAGGGCAAGAAGGATTTGAATTCAAACACTATAGAAGTATACAATTTACTGATGACTGTAGATAAACACAGAAGGAAAAAGATGCACAGAAAAGAGGCTAGAATGTGATTACAAATTCAAGCAAGGCATTCTGCATTTCATTCCCATAGGCTACTATAGTTTTCTGGGAAGTATAACTGCACTTCTCAGATTTTATTGCAGTAATAATGGGCTCCTCTATTTTAAGTGTGTAACCCAGGAGCTAAGTGCCAGTACCTATAATCCTAGGTGCTCAGGAGGCTAAGATCTGAGGAGCATGGTTTGAAGCCAGCCCAGGCAGAAGAGTCCATAAGCCTATTATCTATTATCTCCAATTAACCAGCAGATTGTAGCTGAAGTGGCAAAGTACCAGCTTTGAGCAGAAAAGCCAAAGTAAAAGCTTGAGGACCTGAGTTCAAGCCCTAGCATTAACCCACATACACCGGGGGAAAGGGGGGGGAGGGGAAGGGAGAAACAATCCATTTCTCCTTGCGTTTCTCCCTCTTTTTTTTTTTTTTCCTTCCATCCCACCTTCCTCCCTTGGTTCTTTATGGTACCAGGGTTTGAAGTCAGGGCTTCACAATCACTCAGCTTTTTCTGCTACTTGAGCCATGCCTCTAGACTGTTGTTTTGCCTCTTTTATCTTTGCTTTATTTTTATTTTATTTTGGAAATAAGGTCTTATAGGATTTTCTGCCTAGGCAGTCTTCAAACCAAGATCCCTGGACCTTAGCCTACTGAGAAACTAGAATTATAGGTGTGAACCACCAGCAGCTAGCAGGGGGAAGTATGTATTTTTGTGTTCCATTCCACTCCTTTGAATATGAAATTCAAACTCTGTTATATGCAAATATACGAACATATTTTAATATTGCCCCCCCCCCATTTACTACCAAAGGCTTGGGATACTGTTGCCTACTTTGCATACAATATCTGCTCATTACATATTTATAGAATTAATATTTGCTTTCTGAACATCGTCATTGCTCCTCAAGTTTCCATGGATATCTCAACAGATGAAATTTCAACTCAGGCACATTCTGTATTTCACACAGAGTGACATTTCCTAAACTGTGTACCTACCTTAGAACACTATTCTAGGAGATAAAAATGACTGAAAAATGATTAAAATTTAAATAAGGATTCCATGAATAAGTTAGAAAGCAATGCTATTTGTTATGCCCTCCTCCCACCAGTACCTTATAATATATATATATGTATATATATATACATATATATATATACACACACACACACACATTTTTATGGAAGGTTCAACAAGCCTCACATTAAAGAAATCTGTTCCATACAGTATTCTCTAAATTTATTTTTCTCCAATATTCTTAGTATGCTACCAGTATAGCAAATGTTTTGTGATAATCCCCTATGTCCAACCAAGAAATGCTCACAAGGCAATTAGTGCTAAGTCAAACTATGGCTATGAAGAATGCTTCTGACTTAAAAACAGTATGTACATGTATGCACATATTTCTACTTGAATATATCTGTATCAGCAGGAATGTAGGCATGTATAGTTTAAGAACATTCAAGGCACTCTAAAATATGAAATAATATGTACCATGAGTCAAAAATAATTTTTGAAACTATTTCTCCAACATCATTTGCCAAAAATCACTAAATTTCAAACTACAGTAAAACTTAATTTTTAAAGAATGGCTACTTGATTCCATATCTTGGCTATGGTAAACAATGATGTAATGAACATGGCTGTGCTGGTGGCTTTAGTGTGTGGCCTGGTTTGTGGTCAACTGGATAGAATGCTCAGGAATGAGACTGCTGGGTCATAGGAAAGCTCTATGCTTAGCCTTTTGGGGAACCTCTATACTGCTGAACAAGTTTACATTCCCACCAACAGTGTAGTAGCTTTTCTTTCAGTCACATCCCTGCCACCATCTGTTATTGTTAGTTTTCTTGATAATGGCAGGAATCTCAATATTGTTTTGATTTGCATTTCTTTTATGGTCAGAGATATTGAACACCTCTTCATGTGTCTACTGGTCATTCTTACATGTTCTGAGAAGTCTCTTTTTAAGTCATCCCATTTATTTTTATTTATTTATTTATTTTGGGTCTGGTCGTGGGGCCTGAACTCTGGGCCTGGGCGCTGTCCCTCAGCTCTTCAGCTAAGGCTAGAGCTCTACCACTTGAGCCACAGTGCCACTTCTGGCTTTTTTCTTTTTGCTTATGTGGTGCTGAGAAATTGAACCCAGGGCCTCAGGCATGCAAGGCAAGCGCTCTACCACTGAGCCACCTTCCCAGCCCCAGTCATCCCATTTATTAGTTGGGTTGTTGTTTTTTGAGGATTTGGGTTTTTGGGGGGGATTAAGTTTTTGAGCTCTAAGTATATTTTAGATATGAGGTCCTTGTCTGGTGCATAGCTAATAAAGATCT